ATTTATTTTTCAATTCCCCACTACCCTCACTACCACCGACAAGTTGAAACTTTTTTATCAACATTTATTCAAGAATTTATTTTCAATTCCCCACTACCCTGAGTTCTACCATTTATATACAAATCAATACACATCTTTATTTTTAAAATTTAAATTATTACTACATTAACTACCTTCTATTTACCTCACATAAAGCTAATGTGAAAAATAAGGCATTTTATACATACAGCTAATCGGAAGCGACAAAATATCTGCGCTGAGTCTGTGTGATATTAAGAATATTGTTTTTTCCGGGTTAAGCCCTTTTTGTTCAAAATCAAAATATTAAAAAAAACATATAATGAGACTTGAATGACGACTTGAAAATATTTGAATTTGGTTAAATGTTTAAATAATTTTTTAAAAATTAATTTAGCAAGGAAAGAAAAAAGTTCACAGCTGCAGGGTTAAATAAATGAAACAAAAATTCTGAATTCAACCACGTGTTCGTCTATATTTTAATAATCTTTAAACTTACTTGTCTTTTCCTTCTTTTTCGTTAAAAACGCATATGCCGACAAAAAGTAATAAAAGAGTTAGGGAGAAAAGACTGTGTTTCACTTTCATAGATAAAATCTGGAACTAAAATCCCACTTCTCTGGGATAAGGACTAGGCCGCATAATCCGCGTGTACCAAGTACCATCAACACCTCATAGACAGTGATAGACACTCAGCCAACTCATCTCACGAAACCTCGATTTCAATTACGGAGTTAATTGTCTTTTTATACTTTTTCGTTTAGAACGCAAAAGTAATAAAAAAGAAAAGGCGAAAAGAATACGTTTCATAGATCAAATTGTGATCGAAAGTTACACTTCTCTCGGATAAGAACAGAACCGTTACATCCGTGTGTACCATGTTCAGGGTGTCCCAATAAACATGGGAATTGAATGACGACTTTTGTATCGTCTTCAATTCATGCGGCATTTTTTCATAAACACAATAATTGCAGTATTCCAGCTTAAATCTCCAACATCGAAAACGCCTGGTCTTGAGATTTTTAAAATGAGGTCTACCATTTTTGTATCTTCAAAATTTGTACAAAGGAATTGAGTCTTTGCCACAAACTCTGATTTTCTAATCCCTATACCTCTGCAACCCAAATATCGGAGACCTTAGATATTTCAAACTAGGCATTCTGTCAGATCAACTAATCTAAGTTTGAAACATTAAAGGTTTACAACATCAGTTGGCTAAGATAAAGGGATTGGAACATTGGAGTTTGTTGCAAAGACTCATTTTCTTTTAATTTTTTGATAAATCAAAATTGTCTAAATATCTAATATATTCGTCAAATTTTAAGATACAAGAAAGGTAGACCATGTTATAAAAAGCTTGTCAGCCGCACAGCCTCGTTTTTTACTTTCTTTGCCAAGCATTAAATATCGGAATTCAAATCTCTCAATTCCCATGTTTATTGGGACACCATCTACTATCTATCTATCTATACCTGCATCTAAGTGAGACGGGTTGCCAGTGCTCATCGTCATCGTAAATCTCTGAGTTTAAGATAAACTTGATAAACTCGGGGAAACTAGGTTCCGGAGAATCATCTGATACTGTCCCTCGACTCAGTCTAAATTTGAAATCTATAAATATTCAACCTTTTCCTTAAAACATCAAATAAGAGCTGAATATCCATTGTGGACACTTTTGATTTAGGCTTAATCCGATCAATTTTCCCCTCTTTTTGGATATCCCTACCGGATTCCGACCAATTAAAAATTTACCGGCTTCTTATTGGCTGTTCGAGATTCTACATACGCCACTCTGATTGGTTGAATTTTAGACACATTTCGGGAAAAAACTAAAGATTAAAATACTCTTAAGATTAATATAAAGAGGAGATCAAGCATTGATCATGATTTCAAAGTTTTTAGCTCAGGGTTCATCGATCCTAATAATGCTTAATTATACATATTCTGGGGACAAATTCTATGAATAAGGAGAAGTAGAAGAACTACAGGGTTACGCAGAAAGGATGAGACTTCAGATACGACTGTACGAAATTTATACTGTCTGTTTCCTAATATTAATGATTCCCAACAACTGTGAAATTGCGTTTTTTCTTGCCATATAATTTAGCCAGCCATTTTTAGACTTTATCCTAGACAGGAGACTTAACTTAACCTTGAGATCGTCATATCTTTAAAGTATCAGTCGTCTTTACAGTCTCATCCTTTGTGGGTAACCCTGTACGTATACTAGGGTAAATCACTTAACGTGTACAGGCGGCGCACAAAATAAGTGGTTGAACTTAGTCTACGTGGTTCAAATACTTTTCCCTATTCTTCAAACTCAAACTCTGCATTAAAAATGTAAATGAATAATCTGTTTAGAGTAAGTATTGAAAAAGAGATATAACTCACTTTATAATCTGTTTAGAGTAGGTATTGAAAAAGAAATGATAACTCCATGTATAATCTGTTTAGAGTAGGTATTAAAAAAGAGATATAATTCACTTTATAATCTGTTTAGAGTAGGCCAGGTATCAAAAAAAGAGATGATAACTCACTGTATAATCTGTTTAGAGTAGGTATTGAAAAAGTGATATAACTCACTGAATAATCTGTTTAGAGTAGGTATTGAAAAAGAGATAAAACTCACTGAATAATCTGTTTAGAGTAGGTATTTAAAAAGAGATATAATTTACTGTATAATCTGTTTAGAGTAGGTATTGAAAAAGAGATATAACTCACTTTATAATCTGTTTAGAGTAGGTATTGAAAAAGAGATGATAACTCAATGTATAATCTGTTTAGAGTATGTATTGAAAAAGGGATATAACTCACTTTATAATCTGTTTAGAGTAGGTATTGAAAAAGAGATGATAACTCACTTTATAATCTGTTCAGTGTAGGTATTTAAAAAGAGATATAACTCACTTTATAATCTGTTTAGAGTAGGTATTGAAAAAGTAGTTTCCATCATGAGATCTAGTTCTATCCTCCAACTTGTTTCTGTAAGCTGAACTGATTCGGGCGAATGGATGCCGGGAAATCAAAAATCTTAAATATTGTGAAGTTTACTGAAAATTTTACTTATTATTAGTTTATTTAGAGTGCAAAGCATTTCAATAAAAATTAAATTCTTTTCTTAATTATAAGATAACTTGAGATTAAAAATACAAAAGTCTACATAATTGTTTCCAATATTTAAGTTTCTGCTAGAAATGTGGTTTGCCCTATATAGTATATATTAAAGGTATTTTTTGTTATCATTTGATATTAAAAACAACATATGTTAAATATCCGTCTAGAAGGTAAAAATTGCAGACAACAATTTAAAACTTATTTTTCTGTACCTTGAATTTTGACCCGAATTAAATTGTTCTAGCGTCAGATGCCCCGCCTTCTGCCACACCTCCTTCTGTATAAAAGGGGCGGGGATCTCCTCTGTTTCTGGTAGATAAGGTAGGAACAGTTTAGAGAGAGAGGTGGAGGCAACCTTTGGAACCAAACACCAATCCAGGTTCAGAGCTGGTATTCTAGAGATAATAGGTTTAATAAACACCAATCCAGGTTCAGAGCTGGTATTCTAGATATAATAGGTTTAATAAACACCAATCCAGGTTCAGAGCTGGTATTTAGATATAATAGGTTTAATAAACACCAATCCAGGTTCAGAGCTGGTATTCTAGATATAATAGGTTTAATAAACACCAGTCCAGGTTCAGAGCTGGTATTCTAGATAAAGTAGGTTTAATAAACACCAGTCCAGGTTCAGAGCTGGTATACTAGATATAATAGGTTTAATAAACACCAATCCAGGTTCAGAGCTGGTATTCTAGATATAATAGGTTTAATAAACACCAGTCCAGGTTCAGAGCTGGTATTCTAGATAAAGTAGGTTTAATAAACACCAGTCCAGGTTCAGAGCTGGTATTCTAGATATAATAGGTTTAATAAACACCAGTCCAGGTTCAGAGCTGGTATTCTAGATATAGTAGGTTTAATAAACACCAGTCAAGGTTCAGAGCCGGTATTTAGAGCCTAGCAGAGTTTCAATCCATTAATTAAAAATACATTTTTACGGTGTTTCTAAAACAAATATTTAATTTTCGAAAGAATCTAGATGGTTATCTATTTATAATTTATGTTACCTGGCAATATTTAACACCAGATCGTTGCCAAATAAATTAAGAAAATGTTTCTTCAATGGTTGAGGTAAATCCTGGAAAATTAAATTGTTAAAGAGACTATTCATGAATATTATTAGATATTTTTGATAATCTAATGATATTTTCTTATTTATAGATATTTACCGACTTCAATGGATAATTTTGAGTTACATAGATATTGAATATTTAATATTCATAGATAGATATTTATAGATTTTCCGTTTTCATTTATTGCATATTGAAATGTTATACAGTGAAACCCTTAATAACGAATACATCGGAAGAATTTATCAAAAGTCGTCTTGACAATTTTTCAATGAGTTTTATACTATATTTCGTAAATTTCAGTATTTGCGAAAATAAATAAATAGCCATTAATATACAAGAACAGTTTTAAAGAGTTCCATATAATCATTTAATTAAAAACTAAATATCTGCAACATTCCATTATCAGAAAGTGAAGAATACAACATTTGATGAATTCTTCGATGTATTCGTTAATAAGGGTTTCACTGTACAATGTTTTGGTTTATTATTGAATTCTGTTTTATAGGACAAAGGGACTGTAAGCGTAAATTTAAGTGACCTTCCATGCAAAGATGACAATGCCTGATTCAAAAAACTCTAAGTACCCTTGAAGCCTTTATATATTTGATCAATAATGTGGAAGATACCTTCGTTCTTCTGGGTTTAAAAGTGTTTAATTCAGTTAATTCCTATGTTGGGTAGAAATGCGCAAGTACAAATAGCTAATGATGCAAAACAAGAACAACAAAAATGAAGATTTTAAGAAAAATAGAGATATCAAGAGACCAGCAGCTGCTATAATATGATTATTTATACAATTTTGTAATAAAATTTGTTAAAACCAATATTCAAAAAGAAATATTAAAAAAGAAATGCGCAAGTAACTTTTGCAGAGAAACCACAATGGAAAATAATCAGTTTTCAAAATTATAATCATTAATATCTATTTCCTACTCGATCAAATCAAAGTTTTTAAGGGTACCGTTGTAAATCGGCATTGCTAAACCTTTAATTTTTCAAGATCGGACTATTTTCCCCCGCAGAAATGATAGCTTGAAATATCAAAGGTCTATAAATTCATCAGATCGCCAAGATGTAAGGATTAGAAAATATAGTTTGAGGAGATACTAGATACCAGATACCAGATACTAGATGCTAGATACTAGATACTAGATACTAGATACCAGATACCAGATACTAGATACTAGATACTAGATACTAGATACTAGATACTAGATACTAGATGCTAGCATCTAGATACTACATACTAGATACTAGATACTAGATTGAACAAACAAACAGAGACTACAAGTGTGTATAGATAGATGTACCGTTTGTTGAAGCTGGGGTGGAGAAGGAAGGAGAACTGGAGTATTGTTACAAACAGATCCTACTTTTCGAACCCGCTCATCCCAATCAGGCACTTCGTAATTATCATTCTAAAATAATCATCTTATTCAGAAGACGCTGTAATCGTTTAAAAAAAGAGGAGGAGGGGGGGGTCTTTAAATCCTGAAGCTTTAAAATATTTTTTAAAAACTAGTCAATTCATCAAATATTTAATAAAACATGAGATCTCAAATCTTAAAATCCAAAAAAATGAGTCATTTTATTATTTTATTTTAACGATACACAAAAATTATATTTTATAAATAGTTCCAGTGGTGTGCGATGTGCATTCAGTTAGCTTTGTTTCGTTTTTTGTCAATAGTTTAAGAGTCAAAAAATGGCATAGTGTAACCGTAAAATGTCAATGTCATATTTAGACCTTGACAGAAGATATATACAAAAAAAGATCCAAAAACGATGTAAAAACGAAAGTACGTTATAACGTCGTTTTTGGAGCGTTTTTCAAGTATTCAAGGATAAAGACATTGTAATGTTCAATAACAGCAAACTTTAACAGAATATAGTTTTGAAATCTTAAAAGTTTAATTTTTTTCTTCTGAAAATGAACCAAAACAATTAACACCCCTATGTACGGTACAAATACTACACCTGTGTGTACAACTGACCGTGAAGGAGAAAAATGGATGCCAGAAATCCATAAAACAGAAGAAGAAACACGTACAGTTTACATTTTCGAAACAATCTCATCTTAGATCGTGTACCCTGTTACACGTTGTGCAAATTTTCTTGCATATTAAGCAGTATGCACATTACCCATGTACACCTTGTGTATGTACAATTTGTTACTTTGTTGGGTTGTTTATACTGTAAGCTATTGAGTATAGTGTGAGTCTGCTAAACCCTGTTACGAGCGGTTCACTCTGTACTCTCCTATAGTTAAGATTTCTCCTGCCTCTTTGGTTTATAACTGTAATACCACCGGTGCTTTGGGAGAAGGGGGGGGGCTTGGGGGGTTTACCGGGATTTGTTAATTTTACACAACGTATTACGAAAATCTATCCGGACCCGAATCAATTCTAATAATGGAATAAAGAGAAAAATACATTTTTATGTTAAACAGTAGACACAATATTCAAAAAGCGATAAAAGGCCACATTTGACCTGACTTGTAAAAGAAAACAGGTCTACTGCTTGATTTTCAGGCTACAGGCAGTCAGTGCACTTTCCCATATGATAGAGACAGAATGAACTGATAAACCTGTGATATATAAAAATGGTTCTTCCCGGATTTTTGAGAAGGGTCGCTAAAGCATTTCCTACAATAGTTCAAGCAGTAGCTCTGATAGCAGTTTTTCATCTAGTGGGACAGGTATGGGTTTAATTACTCCCTTTAAATATGGGGGGGGGGGAGATTTACTAAAAGTTAATTTTCTCTTAACATGTCAATGATTAACGATGATTGTACAATGTACATTGCTCTGTTTGCAAAATTTTATCTGTTTTATATAAATACCTTCTTTAGTATTCTAATATTAATACATGGACATTGAAAATCTTTGTAGGTTATTTAATTCTTTTATAAAATAATTGTCTCTTGACATATCTTCGTTAATTTAAGAAATAAAACGACAAAAAACGACATTGAGGGGTTAATGAGGGACAGGTTATTCAAGTATAAAGGTTTTGATATTTTAGTGATTGATTATTTGTCTAGAAATTAACATACATACTCTGTTTAGTAGCTGATTACTTTACAAGACATTAACGTATTTACTACTTTTAATTGATTAGTAGGCTTGATATTAACGTATTCTCTATTTATGGACTGATTAGCTGGCTAGATATCAAAGTGTTATCTATTTATGGCTGATTCGTTGGCTATTTATCAACATATTCTCTGTTTATGGCTGATTATTCGGCTGGAAATAGCGTATTATCTGTTTATGTCTTATTATTTGGCTAGAAACTAACAAATTCTCTGTTTATTGCTGATTCGTTGGCTGGATGTCAACGTATTTTCTGTTTATGACTTGTTAGTAGGCTAGATATTAACATATTCTCTATTTATGGCTGATTAGTTGGCTACATATAAACATATTTTATGTTTATGACTGATTAGTAGGCTAGATATTAACATATTCTCTACTTATGGCTGATTAGTTGGCTACATACCAACGTTTTTTTTATGTTTTTTGCTGATTATTTGGATATATCAATGCATTCTCTGTTTATGACTGATTAGTTGGCTATATATCATCGTCTTCTCTGCTTATGATTGATTAGTTGGCTATATATCAACGCATTCTCTGTTTATGGCTGATTAGTTGGCTATGTATCATCGCATTCTCTGTTTATGGCTGATTAGTTAGCTATATATCAGCGTATTATCTATTTAGGGTCTGATTAGTTGGCTGATCTGATTTATCAACGTATTCTCTATTTAGGGGGCTGATTATTTGGCTGATCTGATTTATCAACGTATTCTCTATTTAGGGGCTGATTATTTAACTGATCTGATTTATCAACGTATTATCTATTTAGGGACTGATTTGTTGGCTGATCTAATTTATCAACGTATTCTCTATTTAGGGGCTGATTAGTTGACTGATTTGATCTATCAGCGTATTCTCTATTGAGGGGGCTGATTAGATGGCTGATCTGATTTATCAACGTATTCTCTATTTAGGGGCTCATTAGTTGGTTGATCTAATTTATCAACATATTATCTATTTAGGGGGCTGATTATTTGGTTGATCTGATCTATCAACGTATTCTCTATTTAGGGCTTGATTAGTTGGCTTATCTGATTTATCAACTTATTCTCTATTTAGATGCTGATTAGTTGGTTGATCTGATCTATCAACGTATTCTCTATTTAGGGACTGATTAGTAGGTTTGGGGGTGCAAAATATCGGTTCTCTAGAAACCAGCATATAGGCTACGGAGTTGATAAAGTTCAGAAAGTTATCAAATACGTAGACAAGGAAAGTGATCATTTGTTTTTAATTAAATTATCAAAGAAAATATATTATATCTGAAATCAATCATTGAATTCAACATACATATTCACTTTTTAGTCAATATAAATGATCATTATTAGAATATACCTAAATATCATCCTAAACCTGGAAATCAAGGTAAAACCAAGATTACAACCCCTCCTCCAGCAAGTACAACAACTACAACTCCTGCTCCTGCTCCTGCTCTGTCTATACTAGAACAGGAACAGAGAAAGAGAATTCAGACTCTGCAAGATGGCTGCGCCAGGTAAAATGCTTTATTTATAATGGGACTGTTAACCAATTTAGGAATCCTTCATATGTGTCAAAAGCTGGGTTTTCAGCTTAAATACTGAGGAATTTAAGTTTTTAAAATACAGGGTCTAGCTTTGAAATATGATTTTATTAATATTTACAAACATCACTTAATTTTATTTTCAATGTAATTTCAACCAATGCCATAATATTCTTGGAACTAGTGAATTTTAGTTCAAACCTTCAAATCTACAGATTACCAACGATCACGTAAAAACAATCAACTTCCTTCCAATCAACTCCTTACCTATCCAAAAACATAATTTGATGTGTGTAACCAATTATATTCCGTATCGTTTACTAACTTAAAGCCAACCACTCAAAACAACCTACCTTGGTTAAGCGGGTCCAAGCTGCATAGTAAATTGTGATTGCTTATTTGTAATATCTCATGCTTTGTGGTTGAACAAAAAAATGAAATGAACTTAAAATCCTGTATTTTAACTATTATTAATCCCAAATATATGTTCAAACTTTTATAATATTCCTGAACAATAACAATGAATAATCGGTTAAAAAATATATTTCAAAGTTCACGCTTCAAAAAACTTTCTCTTTTTCTCTTTGTTTGGTTTAGAACCAATATCTTCTCAATCTTATCCCTTCAATCTTGTTTGCTTGTTAGTTTTCAAAACTATTCAAAACCTAGGTGTCAAACCTGTCAAACTCGTCAAACTCTAAATGGATCATACATTTTGAGGAATTCTTAAATAATCTGAAATAATATCTGATATGTGTTTACAGGAGTGTCATTCCCCTATCGACTGAGTTTGCCCCCGGGTCATATTCAAAACTAATTTTTAAAGATTTTTACTTAAATGAGAAGAAATGGGTTCGGCAGTAAAGAAACGCTCGCGAGTAAGTTATGTGTTTATAAAAAGAAGCCTTTTTAGCTTAGTTTGGTTTATTTTGGGTTAGTTTTATGTGTAGTTTGAGATGGTTTGGGGTATTTTATTATGGGTGAGTTGGGTTACGTTTGTTTGTTTTATTTAAGTTGGTTCAGTTTGAATGCTCAGCATTTACAAAAAAAAAGATAAAAAAGTAAAACTTTGACTGACAAGGGAGGGGGTGTTCATTCCCTGGGTTTTAAGTGTAATTATTAAATATTCTTAGAGAAATTCTGTTTTACCTTTAATCACAGTTCTAGCAAAAAGACATTTTAACTAGAATCAACGAAAAGAAGAACGGGGATGAGAATGAACTAACGGAGTTTGAAGAATTTCTCCGGAACGAGAATCTTCCAACAAAACCTCTTTGGCAAAATCTTATTTGCAGCAAGGTAAATATTCAATCGAGAAGCTAACTTCCCAATTAAATTTCCCCAACTGTATTTTTGCTTAAATGATAATTTTCCAGAATGATTATTTAAGGGTATTTTCCCAAAATAATGGGTCGCCAAAAAAAATTAGTGAAAATTTGACATGGCTAGCTTTGAATATGCAGAAAATATTTAATTTTTTTATAAATCTTCCTTTTAACTTATTTTGAAAGTGAACTAAAATGAACAAATTATAAAAAATATCAGGGAGAGGTGAGACTCATAAACTGTGGAATAGGAAGACGACTCTAAACTCAAGTTTTTATTTTTAAATAGTCCAATGGACGAACATGAAACAAAGCAATTAAACGCAGGGCAGCTTTTAAAGGCTTCTACACGGTACATTCCAAGGTTCATTTCAGGCCGAATTTCAACTAGTCAGTGCAATCAGTACAGTACAAATACAGACTATATGAGGCAAAACGGGACTGTACGTCAAATACATGATACCCTTCTAGTGAAATTTATGTGTCTAAGATCGAATTTAATGAATTGGAGAGGTCACTGAACTACCTACCACTGGTTCAAATCCTGAATCCCAGGGACGGAATTTAATGTATTGGAGATGTCGCTGAACTACCTACCACTGGTTCAAATCCTGGATACCGCGGTCGGAATTTAATGAATTGGAGAGGAAGCTGAACTACCTACCACCGGTTCAAATCCTGAGGGGACGGAATTTAATTAATTGGAGAGGTCGCTGAACTACCTACCACCGGTTCAAATCCTAAATCCCGGGGACGGAATTTAATGTTTTGGAAAGGTCGCTGAACTGCCTACCGCCACTGATTTAGAATTAGAAACGGGCAGCACGGTGAAAGGTTGCTCATCGACTTCTCGCAACTATCTTGTCCAAGGAAATTTATTTTCTTTGTAAAAACATGATATATGCGTCAGATTGCGTAAACGTCGTCTTCTTATCCGACAGTTTTATGGGTCTCGTTGGTGATAAGAGTGTTAAGTATATTTTTAGGAACACCACTTAAGCTTCTGTCCCTCCTACAAGAGCGCTCAAAACTACATCTTTAAGAAAATGCTTCTTCTCTCTCCCAAGAAAAGGTATTATTCAACCGTGAGCTTAACAAAAATGATATTTTAATTCACTAATTCGGACGTTTATTATCTAAGCAGGTTGTGTTTTCATCATCTTTCTTAATTTTGGACTGTGGAATCTATAATGCACTATAATCCATTGAATAACTTTTGCTATCTATCTATCTAAATATACTTTGCTTGTCTGTCTGTTAAGTTTGTTTGTTTGTTTGTTAAGTATTATCGCACAGAAAACAATCTTTTATGTCTAAACAGTTAATCTGATGGATAAGCCACTATCTTTACAATGTCACATTTTTCGAAGTGTTTCACCCCATTTTGAATAATCTGAATGATTATAAAAAGTTTATATCGTCTTTTTAAAAAGAAACATAAAAAAAATATTATTTGTTAGGTACACCAAGGAGGCACTTAAAGATGTGGATATTCCGTTTCCTGTTCTTGCAAGGAAGGATTTTGGATATCTGGACTCATGGGATATGTATCCAGAGTTCACAGAGGTAGTGATATTCAATATCCATGTGTCATTCCATATTCAATATCCATGTTTCATTCCATATTCAATATCCATGATTCATTCCATATTCAATATCAATGTTTCATTCTATATCCAATATCCATGTTACATTCCATATTCAATATCCATGATTCATTCCATATTCAATATCCATGTTTCATTCGATATCCAATATCCATGGTACATTCCATATCCAATTTCCATCTTTTATTTCATGTTTGATATCCATTTCTAATTTTATTTCTTTTTAATTTGGTAGACAGTTTTAATCTTTAACTTTGTTCCAGAGTGGTACAACGTTCCTGTTTGTGAGGAACCCGTTCCAAAGATTACTAAGTGCGTTCCGTGACAAGTTGGAGGATCCTTCGGTATTATTTAAATTAATAATAATAATTAATAATAATAATAATAATGAATTCAATTATTTTAGATCCAGAAGAAGAAATTTAATGAGTATTATTACAATAAGTACGGAAGAAGAATTGTAATGCATTACAGAAGAGCAAAAATTACCGGTCCAACCTTTAAATATCCTCGGTAAACTTACAGTTTAAAATTTTCCACCATGTTTTGTAATAGACAAGACCAAGAGATGATGGTTTTCACTGAGCCGGGTATTCTTATTTTGTCAAAACTGTATTATTTTGTTGGTTTGAAGTATTTTAATATTTTTAAATTATCCCTTAAGTCATGACATTATGTTCCCAAGAATCTAACAGCTTTTCCAATTTATCGTGAATTAATCAATTCTTTTGTTTACCGATTCATTTTGGTTTAAGTCTCTATGTTACGGTGGTAGACGTTTAAATAATACAATGAAGACGGTTTTTCTAATTAGATTTTGATTTTAAACATCCTTTTTTTAAATTACAAGTTTACGAGCAAACATTCAAAGAATCTTTTAATTGACAGCTTCTCTTATTTTCTATTTTTATGTAAATTCAAACTGTTTGAAAGATTGGTAGAAATAAAAATTGAAATAAAAAATTGTCTTCATTATATTAATATATAATAACGACTGTATGACTATCCATATATTAATATAATGTTTTCAAAATGATTGTAGCATCTAAATCTGATATAAGATCTAAAAACACGTTTGTTTGAAATCAAATCTGCAACAGAAAGTCGTCAATTATTTGATTGATATATCTGCATATGACTGTAAATTATTTGTGTTTGTTTGTTAGGTTTAACGAGTTCCTTGAGTTTATCGTGAACCGAGATATTAGACACGATGATGAAGAATGGGCTCCATACTTTATGGGATGCTCTCCTTGTCAGATCAAATACAACTTCATAGGTGAGCTTGTCATCTTGCCAGGCTGCATTTGTTGCATAAAACGTGCTGGGTCGACTCCACACTGGGTATCCAGACTGGACAGTACGACTGAATGCACATACAGTACGTGTTGTACCGGCTTAGGTCTGGTTACAGTGTACTCTACACAACATGACAATCTAAAAATGACCATGGTGGCCGCGCTTTGAATAATTAGGGGAAAAGTTAGTGTCAAGATTAAGATGCCGTTGAGAATAAAATAAGGCTCAAGTCTAAAGATAAATGATGTTGAAACTAGTTTTTCCAGTAAATCGCGCAGTTAAAATAATGAATATAATTTGCATTCCATAGTTAGACAAACATGTAAAATACTTTTCAAAATAGTGCTATGACCTTTTTTCAATAAAATATTCTAAAGCAGCTGTTTCAATTACTTTATGCATATACAATATTATACTTAAAGACGTCCATCAACTGCCATGTGTAGTGGGAAACACTGTATATCAAATTTTCATCATTCAATGTACAATGTGCATGGTTCATGATTCATTATTTATTAATTGTAGCTCATTGTTTATTTATTAATTGCTTATTTATTTATTTATTTATTATTATTATTATTTGTTCCTTCACTGGTGATTGATTACTGTTCATCATTTATTTTTCAGGCCATTTTGAGACGCTGTACTGGGATATACATCTTCTAGCAAATAAGACTGGGCTTTCTAAAGAGTGGGATGATCCACAAGATTTCTTTCAGGAATCCATTTAATATGATTTTATCTTCATTTTTAACATTTTTATCATTCTCACTTTATATCATTATCAATAACATTTTTTGCATCATCAGTAAAATTTTTATTATTATCGCGCGATCAATAAGATTTTTTACATTATCAAGAATATTTTTATAATTATCAATAACATTTTCATCATTATCAGTAAGATTTTTATTATTATCGATCAATAAGATTTTTATCATTATCAATAAGATTATTAATATTATCAATAGTTTTTTATCATTTTATTATTATTCTTTCATAATTATCTTATTTTCAATACATTATTATAGACCAAAATGTTTATTATTATGATATGGATGGATATTGTGTAGAGTTCTACGTCTACTGAAGTGGAGAAAGAATACTATAGTTTAGTAGATCGAGATATAATTAGAAAAATATACTCCAGGTATACTCAAAACCATATTCACAACCTTGTTTATTAAGCTCATTGAAGCCAAATCTCATCTGTCTAAAGTGACCCTTCATTCAGCGAGGCCCATGCCCGATTTAAAGAACTTTTAAACCCTGTAAGTCTTTGTCTAAGCAAACATTCAAGAGATATCCATGCTTTTTCTATACATAAAATTGATCATTTTCAGTTGCTGTATTTCTATAAAAGCGGCTGCCAGTTTCATGCGGCAAAGCAAGAAGAAAGATAATTACATTTTAAGATAGAAAAACGACAATATCCTTTCAATGTTACTCTTTTAATGGGAGGGTTACCCGGGTATGAAATGCATGGAATTGATAGGTGATACAGTGATAACCAGAAAACTCTGGAAAAGGAAAACGATTTTATAACAATACTTAAGTGTTTTTGATGTTGTAACAAAGCGAAAAGTTTTACGAGACACTTATACATCACTTATTAATTTAATTGAGTCTGTTTACACTTCATAATTTCTGTGTCTCATGCTTATTCGTCTGCATATTCTGGAGTTTTCTGGTTATTTACTGTAGATAAACCACAGGGACGTGCAGGGTGTTCCGTTTTTGAGGGGGCGGATAATTTTTAGTGGTGTAATCTATATAATAAAACAAGACATTCACATCTAAATATATATGTTGCCTATAGCAACACTCATGGGTAGCCTGGAAGTGTTCCCTCTGGCCGGCCAAACGTGACGGCTGGATCGAATAGGCAAGAATTATTTGTGGACACTCATGGGTAGCCTGGGGGGTGACATAGGTTAAAAAAATCGAAATTTTTATTTTTTCAAATTATCAAATTATCAGCTAGTATTCAACAAGAGGCATAGAAAATCAATAGAATTTTGAATATTTCTGAGAAAAATGATGTAATTTTCTTAACTCTCCGCTGTTTTTGTCCTGCAAATTTTCCTTTTGTACCATCCCACAGAATCTCTAGAAGCGCTGCCAAAGATACGAAAAGAGATCTTTTTATTAATCTAATCTCCCATACAGTATCTCTATATAGACCATATCTATTCCAGGTATCGGATAGATTTTGATCTATTTGGATATTCTCCTGATGAATATATATCCTGGAGTATACCTGGTCCTGATGATATTGTAGAAACATCCCCTAAACCCCAGGTTTGTGAAAGAAAAAGTTTTAAAAACCATCAAAAAGAAATTGAGTCTTTGCCACAATCTCTGATTTTCTAATTCCATATCTTTACAAACCAATGTCGTAGATATTTCTAATAATCTTGAAGTTTTAAATATTAAAAGTTCACACCATCATGTTGCAAAGATATAGGGGAAAGAAATGTTTAGTTTATCGCGATGTCTCAATTCCTTTACATGATCATAAATATTAAATATACTTTTTGTATGATCCATGAATACGATTCCAATATTTCTTAATTTTCAGGATATTCCTGAGCCGGCAGATGATACTAAAGATTCCAACCCTGATAATAAAAACAGTGAAATAGTTAGTCCAGAAGCAATCCAGGTTGATCCAATCCCTAGTTCCGGTCTAGATCTGAACACGGAGGAGAAGGCCGACCCGCTCAAGGTCCAGGTTGAGATTGATCAATCTCAGGATAACAACTCCGAGGATGAATTATCAAGTTAAACCTTTATCTTCCTATCTCCAACTGTGATAAAGAGATACAAAAAAATCTAAAATTCTAACTCACACGATATATTGATGTTTATTCGGCAATATTGGAAGTTTCAGATTCTGAATCAAAACAAATCTTCTTGCCAAAATTGAACGCTGCTCTTCATTTAAATTTTTAGCTCTCTTTGCCAAATGAAAAAAAATTACGCCTGGGAGGGTTTGAATATTGGAATATTTAAAAATATTTCTATTCTCAAACTTTTCCGGCTTTTGTATATATGTATTTGCTTAAACTTGCTTTTATTCCTTCAGTATATGATAAGTGCACTGTATAAGTTAATAAATTAAATGTTATTTTATCGTAAGTTTAGGAAAATAAGAAGATCGACTAGAAGTAGAAGGTACAGAGGAAGGTACGGGAAGGCAGACTATAATGTAGACTTAAATGTAGAATGGAAGGTAGACTGGAAGGTAGACTGGAAGGTAGACTGGAAGGTAGACTAGAAGGTAGACTAGAATGCAGACTATAATGTAAACTAGAAGGTAGACTTAAATGTAGAGTGGAAGGTAGACTAGAAGCTAGACTATAAGGTAGACTAGAAGGTAGACTAGAATATAAACTAGAAGGTAGACTTAAATATAGAATGGAAGGTAGACTGGAAGGTAGACTAGAATATAAACTAGAAGGTAAACTAAAAGGTAAATTAGAACGTAGACTAGAATTTAGACTAGAATGTAAACTAGAAGGTGGACTAGAAGGTAGACTAGAAGGTAGACTAGAAGGTAGACTATAATGCAGACTAGAATGTAAACTAGAACGTAGACTAGAATTTAGACTAGAATGTAAACTAGAAGGTGGACTAGAAGGTAGACTAGAAGGTAGACTAGAAGGTAGACTATAATGCAGACTAGAATGTAAACTAAAAGGTAGACTTAAATGTAGAATGGAAGGTAGACTGGAAGGCAGACTAGAATATAAACTAGAAGGTAGACTAGAAGGTAGACTATAAGGTAGACTAGAAGGTAGACTAAAATACAGACTAGAATGTAAACTAGAAGGTAGACTTAAATGTAAAATGGAAGGTAGACTGGAAGGTAGACTAGAACATAAACTAGAAGGTAGAATAGAAGGTAGACTAGAAGGTAGACTAGAATGCAGACTAGAATGTAAACTAGAAGGTAGACTTAAATGTAGAATGGAAGGTAGACTAGAAGGTAGACTAGAATGCAGACTAGAATGTAAACTAGAAGTTGGACTTTACTGTAGAATGGAAGGTAGACTGGAAGGTAGACTAGAATAAAAACTAGAAGGTAGACTGGAAGGTAGACTAGATGGTAGACTAGAATACAGACTAGAATGTAAACTAGAAGGTTGACTTAACTGTAGAATGGAAGGTAGACGGGAAGGTAGACTAGAATATAAACTAGAAGGTTAACTAAAAGGTAGACTTGAAGGTTGTCAAGAAGAGACTAGAAGGTAGACTAGAAGTTTATCTAGAATTAAGAAAGCCTAAAAGGTTAACTAGAAGGTTATCTAGATTCTAGAATTAATATAGAATAAAAGGTAAACTAGAATTTTATCTAGAATTAAGAAAGCCTAAAAGGTAAACTAGAAGGTTATCTAGAATTAAGATAGCTTAAAAGGTAAACTAGAGGGTTATCTAGAATTAATATAGAATAAAAGGTAAACTAGAAGGTTTTCTAGAATTAAGATAGCTTAAAAGGTAAACTAGAGGGTTATCTAGAATTAATATAGAATAAAAGGTAAACTAGAAGGCTATCTAGAATTCAGATAGCTTTAAAGGTAAACTAGAAGGGTATCTAGAATTAATATAGAATAAAAGGTAAACTAGAAGGTTATCTAGAATTAATATAGAATAAAAGGTGAACTAGAAGGTTATCTAGAATTAATATAGAATAAAAGGTAAACTAGAAGGCTATATAGAATTAATATAGAATAAAAGGTAAACTAGAAGGGTATCTAGAATTAATATAGAATAAAAGGTAAACTAGAAGGTTATCTAGAATTAATAAAGAATAAAAGGTGAACTAGAAGGTTATCTAGAATTAATATAGAATAAAAGGTTATCTAGAATTAATATAGAACAAAAGGTAAACTAGAAGGTTGTCTAGAAGATTCATTAAAATTTAGACTAGACGATAGCCTCAGAGGCAAAGGTAGGAAGTTTGATTAAACAAGACTAAGAATCGCTAATCCTGAATAATTCTGACCCGGTATAAAAGAATACTTTGTCCCATTGTTAAGAAAGAAAACATTAAAGATTGCGCTCCTGTAATTTGTTAAAATTACGTCTCTGTACTTTACGCCAAAATGCAGAGCTTGGGGCCAAAGTTTCCCGCAAATAATGTTTAGTTTTACACAAACCTAAAGCAGACTTAGACCAGTGACGCAGAATTACGCAATTCCAATCTTTCAAAATGGATGATCTTGGAAGACAAGGGATACAAAATAAAGGTCTAATAATGTTAGAAGAAGAAAAATAGGATTTATTTTATATTTGTTTAATTGACAAGTTCATTATTGAAGCACTTGCCCTTTTTTAATTTACCAACGAACTCTAAATTAAGAAAATTCACAAGTTTACATTCAAAGATCAGGATATTTAAAAAATGTGAAAATCAAAATGCATTTTTGAGCGTTGATAAGTTTTCTATGTAACCTTAAACCTTATTATTTTATATTAGATAAAGGAATTGAGTTTTTGCCACAAATCCCAATTTTATAATACCTCTCAACAACCAGATGATGCAAACCTTTCATATTTCAAACTTACATTGTTTGATCCACCAGAATTCATAGTTTGAAATATCTACGGTCTACGACATTTGGTTTTAAAGAAATTGGGATTTAAAAGTCCGAGCTTGTGGCAAAGACTTAATTCCTTGATAAATGTGATAAAATTTCACGTATTTTCTAAATCAAGCACTGATCTCCTTCAAATGCAGATTTACGGATTGCTCAAATTCTTCTTTGATATCCCGTGGTGTTCATAAATTTTGATTAAGAAAGCAAGCCTTAATCCTCAAATATAAACATTTTTAAAATTAAAAAAAATTGATACTGAGATCAGGCGTTCATGATTAACAATATATACACAAAAGTTCCGATCTCAAATTAGTCTAGGATTCCTAGACTTAGACTTGGATGTAGATTCCAGAAATAAAACCCGCCATCTTGAAAGTTTATCAATGCACCGCCATCTTGAAAGTTTATCAATCACTGAATATCAAGTTCACCAGTTCAATCTCTGGATTTCTCGCAAGTTAGCAAGGGGTGTTAAAAACCAATATTCCCAGCCTTGTAATTTTAAAGATATACAATATGACACGCCACATTTTAAAAATCCTAAAGAACAAGGCGTTTTCTGTCTTAAAAGGATCGTAAGCGTAACTTTAAGTGACCCTCAATGCAAAGATAGCAATGGTACCCTTGAAAGTGTTGTCTGATCAAGTATGAATTAGATATCAATTTTTTTTCTTGAAAGTGTTTATTTTTATTTGCGGTTTCTCTGCAAAATTAAGGGACTTATAGTTTATGAGAAGCGATGGAGAAACTCATAAAAATAATGCATTCGAATCAGAAAAGCGACGATATTTTCACATTTTTTTATCAGATTAAGGTTTCATGCAAGGATACCGTTGTAAGTCTCGGATATTGCCATCTTTGCATGGAGTGTCACTTGTAATTACGCATACAGTCCCTTTTTATAGTTTTAGATGGAATACTTCTGTTGATTTGTATTTTAAAAAATGCCGTATGGATTAGTGCAAAGTAGACATTTTATTTTCATATTAATTGTGCACTGTGATCTTGCCAGGCTTCTTGTTGAGTAACATGTGAAGGGTCGACATTACACTGGACAGTACGACAGGGTCCATGTACACTACTTGTTGAGTAACATGTGAAGGGTCGACATTACACTGGACAGTACGACAGGGTGCATGTACACTACATGTTGTACCGGCTGATGTTGTTTCAATATTTTAGAAAACAGCATTGAAAAAATTTTTTAAAAAATTTTATGAAACCAAAATAAATACTATAAAAATACATTCTAGAATTCCGCTGTATTTTTAGGAATAGCTGAGATGAGAGTTGATTTCCTAACCCTTGTCTCTATTCTGATTCTGGCTGCTTTCTTCATTAAATCAACCCTATCAATCCTTAACACAGGAGCTAGGTAGATAAATCAATACTAAGGCTAACATTACGACTTTGCTACCTCGTAATTCAACCAGTTTCCATTTTACATAGGAAGAGAAAATAAACTTGTTTTTATGCATCCCAAATTTACTCTAATTTATTTTTCACTGAATCATATTCTCCTGAGCAGCTTTTCAAAGGTCAGCTGAAATATCGATCTTATTTTACAATAGTTTAGTTATGTCGTGTTATCATTATTAATGTTAACATTGTTTTAAAGTCCTACTTGTAATGTTATCTTGAAACCTTTGTCTTCAAATACTGATCCTGAACATTTCATTTTTTAAAATATGAAACTTATGGCGTACTTAAAACTTTTTAAAAACTATTTGTCGATTCTTAAACTTTTAAATTCCTAAATCCCAAAACGATGCTCAAAATATCACGTCGGTAAAAAGAATTAAGAGAGATGGTGTTGTTTCAGTTTAGATGTACAGGGTGTCCCACGAAGCATGACAATTGGTAAATATTTATGAATGTCGTCTTCCAAATACTGTATTAGATATTTAAGGCTTTTTGCAGTTTATTTCGTTAAAAATCTTGCTCAAATATATTTACTTTGAAGTTAATTTTACTAAAACATGACTCCCAAATAATATTTTTATATTGTCTTAAAAAATTATGGAAAAAGACATTCTTAACTATTCACCAACTGTCATGTTTCCTGGGACACCTTGTACCTGCCTGAAAACATTTATATTTTTAAAGAGTTCCGAGCCACAGCTGTAAAACCACAACTTTATATACAAACTGCAACAATTTAAACCATTTTAAAGATATATATTGACTGTGTTACTAAAAATATGATTGCGGTAAGAAAATTAATTTTGCATTAATGCAAACATTCAGGGATTCTTTGCGAAATATGAAAAAATAATTAAATCATAAATATGAAGTACATTGTTACACTTTTATCTCTATCTGATGTTTCTGCAAAAGCCCCCCCGTGCTACCTCACGGTCATGTTAGCCCAAAGTAATTACATTTTGGGGGATTATAGAAATTTTCAAATTGTCTTTACAAAAACATCAGATTGAAATAATTGTTAAGATAAGATCCTTGTTAAACTGTGTTTGTTTAGATTCTACGAGGAGAATGCTGAAAATTCTTTTATTTATTATATTTTGAGTTCTTTAGAGAAAATAAATTGATATTTAGTCCATAAGCACAACTCCTTACACACAACTCAATAGACAAAACTCCTTCCACCAAACTCCTTAAACAACTCATACGCACAACTAACTCACAACTCCTAACACACAAATATAATAAACTTTAAAAGTTTTGTACAACATACAGATGGTATAGATTATGTACATGTCATGTACTCTATCATACTTATCGTTAAAAAGCTTTCAGAATAACATGAAAACTTAGTTTATGATTATAAAACAAGAAATAAATATTCTTTTTGCAGTTTTATAACAAAAAAGCTTTCTTAAACTTTCTTGTTTTAAATAACTTTTTCCCTCTAAGTAAATTTCTGCATTACCAAAATAATTTTTTTTATGTTGTATAAATAATCTAATACCTGAAAAAGGGTTAGTTTGAAGAACCTGAAATGGAGCCTCTTGTATTGTATAATGTATAACCTATTTTCTTTGTCGGAAGGTTATTATCATGTTATTATATATTTATTATTATATATCTTGTGTGCAAAGGTATAATACCTACATGACAAAGATAAGCTTGTTATGAGTCCTGAGAAACTTTGATGAATTCAAAACCTAATTTTTATCATCCTAGACCAAGATGAAATTTTTATTATTGGGGTCAAGTAAGATTTTACTCGTCGAAATTAGTGTTTTTTTATTTTTATTATTTTTGAAATAACACACGCACCTCTGACCCTTTAGTAAAAGTAAATTCAACCTAGTCTGCCCCCGTCAACCTTGTTACACCGGCTAGTCCTATTGATTGTCTGCTTTATTTACCTATTTTCTTTGCAATACAGTACAAACTGGGACCGGAAAGGTTGACCCGGCTCGGAAAAGTTGTTAGTTCATCGTCGAAAAATACTAACAATCCACCACTTATTTAAATATAGTGTAAACAATAAATATGTAACTTTCCTTATCCTTTTCTTTCCTTTTCCTTTTCTTTCTATTTTTATATTTTTTCTTTCTATTTTTATATTTTTTTAGAATTGGGGGGAAATATTCCCACAACCTCTACTTTTAGAGGTTTTTAAATATTTTCTCCTGAAACACTTTATTTTTTATGTTTTTGTTATATTTCATAAATAAATAATTTTTTACTTTTTTACTTACTTACATTTTAGTTTATAAGGTTGACCCTTGATGCTGTTTCTAGTACTGACCAACAACTTGGTTGGTTTTTTAAAAGTTGAAAGGTTTTTTTGCTATTTTAAACATTTGCTTTCCTGTATATGCCAAATAAATCATATTTAAGAGGGTCAGAGTGTGTTTCGCAACTACCCTAATGTTGCTTAAAAGAATAAAAATTTACTGTATTCCTACAGCGCTTTGAATTGAAACCCTCTCCTCTAACTGTAGATCTCTCCATAATAAGACAGGATAAGTCTTTTATGTTTATTTTGAAGGTTCAATCTGGCAAATAAAAGGACAGATGAGACACGAATAGATCACAGAAAAGCTTAAGTAGTTAAATATCCAATAAATCTCATAATTGAATAAATCATAACATACTCGGCATTAAAAACTGCGAAGAAGACTATTTAAACGGAACATTTACATTATTTAATATATAAAAGGAACTCACCTCGATGGTCCTCGGAATACAATCACTTTATCATACGAAAATATACTGTTAACATGAAAGTTTAAACCATACTGAATATTCTAGAACCTAAGAACATGGCGGTGTACAGTACAAAAAGCCTGTTACGTATGACAAAACTGGAAAGAACGAGTTTTACCGACTCTTCTTTGTTTCTAAGACAGCCGCTAATTGCAGGGATGATTACTAACTTCTACAGGGATGAATAGTCTATTTCCATTCGCTACGAAAGTTGCGAAACAGAGTGTATTTCTATATATTTTCAAATGCTAAACCAAGTTTCAACGATTTAATAATTTAAAAGATTCCACCCGTCGAATTATATTTGTTTTATCTTTATTAGTTATAAAAATAGTTTTGATTTACTGTAAGTACGTTCAGCAATATTGATAAAAATTGTAAATAATGTAAATTTTAGATTATATAATGAAATATATATGAAAATAACATTTAAAGTTAGAACAACAAAAATTATCATGTGATCTATACCAAATTCGTAAAAAAGTTTGAAAACCTTAAAATACGTTTAATACACCATTGTTGCTTGTGTATGTGTAAAGATAACGCCACCCTTTATTTCTGCATCACATAGATAGAATGTATAAAGACTTAAACTGATTATAAGAAATATTTTAATTTTAAAGAAAGATAAAAATCATAAATAATATAAATTTTAGATTATGTAATAAAAATCAAAAAGATAACACAGTCTTGTATAGTACTCCTGCGGTACTCCGGCTGAGTGATTATGTAAGGTTAAGATGAAAAAATAGTTTCAACATGTTCAATTTATTAATTTTGTTCACACTGAACTCAAGTTTATTAAGAATAATTTGACTTGACTGTAAATGTAATTTAAAGTGAGCAGCTCCATCTATAGAAGGGCATGTCCGAACCACAAGGGTACCATTTAAACCTTTCTGTCCGAACCACAAGGGTACCATTTAAACCTTTATCTAAGTAACAAAGAGGAAGATATCGTCGTTGTTATATCTTAAAACATATTTATATTAAAGACCCACGATAGAATTTATTCAGTTTTCCAAGAGAAATCAAGCAATTCTCGCCTTTTTGGCCTTTTACGAATATCTAATTAAGGTACGTTGTGAATCGAAAATGAAAATAGAGTGTCACTCGAATTTATTTCAACAGTCGCTTTAACGTTGGTCCGCACTTCTTTTATTCACTCGTCATTCCGATATTATCCCCCATAGATATCTCACTCTCCACTAAATGGTACTATATCTTAAGTCAGTACGTGTACGGCAGATTACGTACTGCAGTACACACCGAAAACTAAGGGCAAGTTCAGGGTGATCTAAAAAATATGGTCACTCGCTCCCTCTCTCTTTCAATCAAAATTATTTTTAATCGTAATTTCTCTCTCATTTAAAATAATATTAAATCAAAATTTTCGGATGTAAAATGAAAACACGATACATTACACGTGGGAACTGTAGCTTTAGCTGTAGTGATTAGTTTTCAGCCTATACCCCCTTTAATTTTTCCTTTACTGTCCCTTTAAGATTGTATTTTTTTAATCAAAGATCATTTTTTAAAAGGAGTTGAGTTTTTTCCACAAACTCTGATTTTCTAATCTCTATACCTTTGTAACCCAATGTCGTAGACTTTAGATATTTCAAACTATTAATAATCTAAGTTTGAAATATCAATAGTATGCACCATAAGATTGCAAAGATATTGGAATCAGAAGATTTTAGTTTGTGGCAAAAACTCAATTCCTTTACCTAATATTTAAAGAAAATATTTTTAAGAAATTTTAAAACTTCTGTTTATCTTAAATGAATGGCAATGTGATAACTCTTGTCTTAAATGAATATTTTTATGTTTGCAGTGCGCATATATACATTAAAGTATTCAAATTGAATTTAAGTAAAAATTTATAGAAAACATAAATGTATTTTTTTCAATCTAACTCATGCTACCGAGGAGGTTTTTAAACACGAAAAAATTTGTACAGCAATTAAATAGGGCTTTTCTGCAGGGGTGCTCCCGAATGTCGTCTTCCTCACTCAGTTTAACCAACTTCCAGCTACTCGTCTAAACAAGCAATATTCAACTCGTAGTATTATGTCTGTTACTATCAATCAATCAACCATGTAGCTACCCAAGTAACAAAAGTGAGGAATTTCCCCAGATTCTCCAACCGTGTTGACTTTCTTTGAAGAATTTCCGAGGAATTTCTCGAGAATCATTTCCTGTAACTGATTCCTCGGATAACCTGTGTATTGCTTGGGAGAAAAATAAATATATATAAATATATTCATCATTTGGCATAAATAAGCTTTTTTATTAGCATAACTCCTGTACGGTTTACCCCCCCCCCCCAATTAAATCTCTCTTTGCCATTTCTGTCATTTTGTTCAAGATTCTGTCATTTTAAATTTTAATAACTATTTCTGAATGTTTTTGTATGCAATTCTAATAGTCAAAAGATCATTTGACCTCTTCAATTATAACTGGTAACAATCTCACATATCCCTCTAAATATTCTGGCTTGTAGTGTACTTTTTCACTTTCAATTTCAGGTCAAGCAATGAAATACTTGGTAATAATCTTTTTAACTGTATTCATCGTTCCTCGCACAATTTCAGGAAAAAACTTACTACTTTTATAATTTAACAATATCATAAAAACCCTGTTTTAAATCTTTTATTATTTGTAATTACAGGGTTACCCACAAAGAATGAGACTTCAGACTGAAATATTTCCTTGTGTTAATGATTCTTTGCAGCTGTATTATTTTCTTTCTTTGTAAAATCTTTAATTTTGCTGTAAACAGACAATATTCAAAACAGAAGTCTCCAATTAACCTTAACATCATGAAAGGGGATGTAGGCTTAATGCGATAAAAGCGCTTTTGATCGCTACTAATCTTACTTCTATCTGTGGCGTCTAAAAGGAGAAAATTGTTAAAAACGAGTAATACCGAAGAACGTAGTGTCCATACAAATTCAGAAAGATGCAACATTCAACTCGGATCATAAACAAATCAATTTAATTCCAAACAAATCATTCAGATATTACAAACAATAGTCATCGATTATTTTTCGACGCATTCGTAAATAGTTGATGTTTCATAATATTTTGTATTTTTCATGAACTGAGAGTTGAAAGCATTTATTCCTGTTTCGATTTTTGATAATGAAGACGACATTTTCATATTTTCCAGGAATGTTCGAAAACAAGTTGTAAGCTAAATATTATTTTAAAAAATAAAATCAAAACATATTATGAAAAATCAACTATATACAAATGCGTCGAAAAATAATCGATGACTACTGTTTGTAATATCTGAATGATTTGTTTGGAATTAAATTGATTTGTTTACGATCCGAGTTGAATGTTGCATCTTTCCGAATTTGTATTGACACTGCGTTCTCCGGTGTGAGTCGTTTTTAACAATTTTTCCTTATAGACGCAACAGATAGAAGTAAGATTAGTAGCGATCAAAAGCGCTTTTTATATTTCATTAAGCCTGTGCCCCCTTTCATTTTTCGCGAACACTTCCTTTAAGGTCGTCTTTACAGTCTCATCCTTTGAGGGTAATCCTGTACATTCCTGAGAAGTCTCCTTGCTTCGTAAAAATTGAGGATTCACTGTTTAAAGAGCTATCTTTAGAATTCCTACCTGAATGCGGGGTAGATTGGGTTAAGTCGTATTAAAACACCTGACAGAGCCGGGATAGAAAAGTGTTCATAACATCCCGGTTTTATAAATGAAACAAAAGTTAACTTTCCTGAAGGTTTGAAAGAAGATGAGAAGGTTGGAGAGGATCAGCAGAATGATCAGATGGCGGAGAAAGTATCGGAGATAAACCCTGATGAGTTCCTGGAAATCCTTGACCTAGAACCTGGGCTCAGGGTTAGTACTTCATCTCTGCTGAAGAATTAGAATGATCAAATTAGAGAATGAAATTCATAAGATTGGCAATTTTCGGAATCACGTTTGTAAATTTTTTTAAATTATTTTTCAGTTTCTTTGTTTAGGTGTATCCCAGGGTTCTGAAGGGAAGTGTAAGTGAAGAAATGAATTTCACAATATTGTCCAACTATTCGAGATATAGACAGGTGAACCATACACGTCATAAAAAGGTCAACTATACAAATATTATTCATGGCATAAACAGGTGAACCATATATGTCATAAATAGGTCAACTATACAAATATTATTCATGGCATAAACAGGTGAACCATACACGTCATAAAAAGGTCAACTATACAAATATTATTCTTGGCATAAACAGGTGAACCATACAGGTCATAAATAGTTCAACTATACAAATATTATTCATGGCATAAACAGATGAACCATACATGTCATAAATAGGCCAACTATACAAATATTATTCATGGCATAAACAGGTGAACTATATATGTCATAAACAGGCCAACCATACATACAAGATTCTAGCCATAAACAGTTCAACCAAACATACGCGATTTAAGCCATTTAAAAGTCTACAGCTCAGTTTAAAGATGATTGATTGATTGAATGTTTAGGTATGCTGGGAATCGAATGGTCCGTATGTTCTGAGTGAAATGAAATGTTTAAATCTAGAATTAGATGTTAACAATATTACTGTACATCTATCCTCAGATCTATTAGGAATTTATTATATCAGGTGAGTATGGGAGGGAACCCTCGGCCGCCATGAGCCTCCCAGATTTGCTATATAGCACAGAGCCTCCGCTATTTGGTATAAATTTCATATTAAAAATTTTAAAGTTTTTTTACGCGAAAAGAAAGATAGTAAGAAAACAAATTATAATGTGAATTCGATTAGATTTATTAAAATCTTTGATTTAAGCGATACCTTTAAAACAAATTATTTATGCTTGAATAAATCTTGTAATTTAAAATTATTGTTAAAAAGAATTATTTAAATGTAAAAAAAATTACTAAAACGGCGATTTTTAAATCAAAGATTTTATTAAATCAAATCGATTTACTTTTAGAATCTGTTTTCTTCATAGCTTCCTTTTCGCGTAAAAAAACTAGGAGGCTTCTATAGGTGAGGAATTAAAGGGACCGTACTTTCAAGTGACCCCTTAATTTAATCCGTTATCTCTGCACAATGAGGAAGATATCGTCGTTTTTTGTTATTGTCTTGAGTCAAAAAGATTATAAAGTACAATAGTTGGCAACAGAGAAATGGACCAATTATACACGACTTCACAAGTGTCAATTATAACAAGGAAAACGAATTTATCTCATTCTAGTTGACATGTTTTCCAAGATTAAATAAAAAAAGCGTAAAAACAGAAAATAAAGTACAAATAAGATTGTACTTATATTACATCAAGATAAGCACTTTATTCTAAAATTAACACTATCAATAATAATTTTGTCGGACACAAAAACTGAATTGACACTTGTGGCGTAAGAATACAGCTGTTGCCAGCAATTGTACTAGAATCTGTTTGGTCTGGAGTTTCTTTTATTGAAAAACCATGAACGCAAAAATTCGAGTCTTAGCTTTGCCACAAACTAAAATTTTCTAAACCCTTTATGTTTACAACCCGATGGTGTACACCTTTGATATTTTAAACATGGAGTGTTAGATCTAACAGAAGTTTGAAATATCTAAAGTCCCAACATTGGGTTGTAAAGATATAGGGATTGGAAAATCAGAGTTTGTTTATATTGACATATTTGTTCATAGAGTACATAAAATTGAGAAGGTCTATAATTCATATATTTAACCACTTTGGAATTGGATTAGAAACAAGGCTTTCGATAAAAACAATGTAAGATAAAAGACCCCCTTCTGAATTAGAAGCCGTCCTGTGCGACCTAAATTTAAAACTTTAAAATGCATAAAAAATTCCATTTGTTTAATCTCCTTTTTTATCAGTAATTACAAGATAAAAACAAAATTATTGATAAATTGCAACAAATGATCTTTAAAACAAAGGAATTGAGTCTTTGTCACAAACTCTGGTTTTTAAATCCCTATATCTTAACAACCCAATGTTGTAGACCTTAGAAAATTTCAAACTATTATTTCTGTTATATCAAAAAATCAAAGTTCAAAATCAAAAATATCTAAGGTTTACATAGTTTGGTTGTAGATATATAGGTATAAGAAAATTGGGATTTGTTGCAAAGACTCAATTCCTTTAACTTGTGTTTTTAAAACTTATTGTAAGCTTTAAATGCTCTTGGTGACTTATAAAACATAACTTTGTTGTTATTTCATGTAAAATGTGAATGCGCTGAATCTTTGTTTCAGGTTTTATACTGAGGAGAGAGGAGTCAAGGTTTACCTGGATTCTCCAGATATAGAACTGGTTGTTAAACGTCAAAGTGTAAGTATAAACCTAAACTTAGAAATATAGCTTGATCCAGAAATACATAAAATCGGGCTTAGACCTGAACTCCAGAAATTGAATTACGCCTTCCTTTACCTTAACCCAGATTACCAAATGAACCTCCCTATACAAACGCATTAACATTGAAGATCTAAAATCTACCTATTCCTAGATTTACCGTAATAAACCTGGTCCTAGATTCAGTACTTGGGACTTGAAACCTGGATCATATAATTATAAACCTAACCTAGATCTAGACATATATCTAGACCTAGACCTGGACCTGAACATAGACCTAGACATATATAGACCTAAGCCAAGACCTACAGACCTAGGCCAAGACCTACAGACCTAGGCCTAGACCTAGACCTAGACCTAGACCTAGACCTAGACCTAGACCTAGACCTAGACCTAGACCTAGACCTAGATCTAGATCTAGACCTAGACCTAGACCTAGACCTAGGCCTAGACCTAGACCTAGACCTAAACCTAGAACTATACCTAGTCCTATATCTATATCTAGGAGAAGATGAATACTCTGGTGACCTTGTTGTTTACTGTAGTCCTAGGTTTAGCTTTAACTCTCATGGGTCTAGATATAGATATTCAAATAGTTCTACAAACTCTAAAGGTAAACCAAACATTTAAAGGGACTGTAAACGTACTTCAAAATTAGCCTCCGTTTAAAGAGTTACACACCCGGTTCACAACGCTACCTAAAGAAAAATGAGAACGTTTATGTCATTTTTCTAGCTTCTGTTATTTTTGCTTTGACAAAGTTTTGAAGAGTTTCTTTGTGAATCGCGCATTTATTTAAGAATTATAAGAAATATAATTTGAATTCAACAATTGTCTTATCAAACGAAAAGATATTTTTAGAGTATAATTTGTTATTCAAAAACTTTCAAAGACAGAAAAGATAAAATTTAAATTATGTTTAGTTCTCCTAATTCGTGAAATTCTCTTTGTTTAATATTCTAAAAGTTAATAAAACAATCATTTTGTTTTAAAGAGACCTATTGGTCCAGCAGTTGGGATGCTTAGCCAGGTAAACTAGTTTTATTCATTATTTTTTATAAATATCATTCTCAAAATGTGAAAATATGAAACTTATTTAAAAACATTCTATTTTAGTTTCTTGTTATGCCTATTGGTTCTTATCTCATAGGTAGGATTGATAACTAAACTAGAAGAAATTTAGTTTTTAAAATAGATTTTTTTTTTGGGGGGGGGGGGGAATTGATTAGTCTTGTCACCGATAATTTATTTGGGATTCTCCCCATAAAACTGAAAATGGCTGATGTTCTAAAAGCAAATTCATACGCAAAGTATAGAAAAAAATTTAAAATGGACCCTTAGAAATTTAAAATTTAATTCCATGGCTGGAATATACCATGCATTTACAAATATATTGTGATTTTTGTAAAAAAAAATATTGCATAAGTTCATTGAGCCCCTTCACAGAAAAAACAATAAGAATAAAAAATGCACATTTAGTACAGCAGACAATTTTAAAAAAATTTCTATTTCTTTTTTTTCTTTATGACTTTTTATAATATTGATAGACGCTGCAAAGTACTAATTTTCTTCGAAGGATGGGCCCTGCTGAGTACTAACTATGAGAGGCTAGGACTGCTGCTTCTTGGCTGCTCACCAGGAGGAGCAGCTTCTAACTTTTGGGTAAAAAAAAATAATCAATCCGCTAATAAAAAACATAAGATTTAAAGGGTTCACTTATTTGAAGAAGGAAGTAACAGAACTATTTGTTAACATTCATCAGTGACCATAGAACGAAATTATATTTAAAACATTTTTTTGCGTCTGTAAAGTCCAATTCAGTGATCTCATGCCAAACCATGTACATAACATTACATTTGATACAGAGTTGCCCACAAATGATGAGACTTCAGAGACGACTGTACGTGATTTATTCAGTCTTTATTCTGATATTCATGATTCCCCTGGGCAGATGTAAGCTAATTGCTTTCTTTGTCAAATCAAGTTTGTCATTTGAAGAGTTATATTTGATGAGTTACAGGTTGCCATTGAAGGCTTATCCTTTACAGATAACAATATACTTTGTTTGTTTTTTTAGGGATTGAGGAACACAACTGCAGACTCATGTTTTACCGTTCAACAATTGTTCATAAAGTTCATATGATCTATTCTAAAAACACTAACAGTTCTTTTGTCTTATTATCCACCAGTGAAACTTAATAATGAGAAAAAATAAAAAAATTTATTCAAATAATCTAAACTAAGATTTAAAGATTTTTTCTTGATTTAGGCCGCCATGTTTGGAGGGGATGTTAATCTGTCAGTTACCATGACGTTCCTATCCTCTGTAGCCAGGTACAGGCTTTTCAAAAATACATTAAACTTTTAAAATCTATAAACATTTCGTTTTTTTTCTTTTGTGTCTTTCTAGATATTTTTGTCTTGTATAACTCGATATATCCAAAAGGAAAAATATGTGTCTTTCACTTTTCATAAAAAAAAAATCAAATGTTTGTATTTTTAGTTTTGCTTTTACCTCTCTCTGGATCTATGTTCTTGGAACACCATTAGTCAGCAAAACAATTCCTATTCCATATCTTAGGTATTTCTTCATTAAAAAGTTTAATTAAATCGAAAATGTTTTAATTAAATCAAAAAAATTTTAATTAAAAAGTAAAAATTCTTTTGAAGCTATTTAATTGAAAAGTAAAAAATAAAGTTATCATTAAAAAATTTAATTATAACATTTTTGCCTCATTGTGAGAAAAACTGTAGATTTAATCAGTAAAACTTTAATGTATGTACTTCTTTGATATTTGTTAGATTGGTCATATCATTGGTTTCTTTTACATTTCCCATTCTCATAGGTGTTGCTTTTAAGGTAAATTAAAAAAAGAGAAAAAAATAAGTAGTAAATGATAGTGAAAAAGCTCTGAATTTCTAATGAATTTATTTGCAAAACGGAGCCTAAAGCAATCCCACCCTTCAAGATTTGATTTAATTTGATTTGCATATTGCTGAGATTAAATATATTAAAGGGACTGTAAGCGTAATTTCAAGTAAGCCTCCATGCAAAGATGGTTATGCCTGATTTACAACGGTTTAAAAGCTTAGTCTGATCATGTGTATGAATTGACAGAAATAGACACTTTTTGAGTCAGAAATACGACGATATCATTCACATTTTTGATCAGATTAAGGTTGTAAGGGTACCGTTGTAAATCGTTCACTCCTGTCTTTGCATGGAGGGTCAATTAAAATAACGATTACAGACCCTTTAAAGGCACCCATTTGTAATTTGATCTCATCTCTAAAATATCTTAAATATCTATTTCTTTTGTCCATGAAGAAAAGTAACTATATTATATAAAGTTGTAATCTCTGTTTGTTTATCCGATCATAACTCAGAAACACCTGGACCGATTTGCCTCAAATTTTGATCGGGGAACTCGAGAGGCCCATGGGAATGTTTTTAGTTTGGTTTTTGAGATTCTAAGTTGAGTGGGTCGACGTTAATAGAGAAAATTTAGTTTCCCTGTAAAATCGTTTAAGTGCGGGTAAACGGCGAGAGTAACTTTTAGTAACGCCTTGGGAGCGCTGGGTTCCTAAGCTAATATCTAAATAATAAAGCTCTTTACTCATTTAAACGTTCGCTATAGCTGGCCAAACGGCTGGACCAAATTGGCTGAAATTTTGTTGAGGAACCCATGTGTACCCCGGGGGTGACAAAGGCTAATTTAAAAAAAATATTTTTGATTCAACGGGCAACGCCGAGTACTTCAGCTAAAATCTTAATTTAAGACCAAGTGCGGGTAAACGGCTGGAGTAATCATGAGTAACGTTAGTAATTACTTCAGCTTGTTTTTAATAAAATGTTTCCATTAGCACTACTTCCCTCGGGCTGGTAAGATGTTGAAGGAGAAGATATCTCGACCTTTCTTCTTTACCTGCTTGTTAATACTTCCTGCAGTTGGAACATGGAACAATTTATTCTTCTTCTACCTTGCTACTTGGCAACATCTGGTCAGCAAACAAATATCTATTTTAAAGAAACTGGGATTCATACTATTCCCTCACATTGGATTGTAAGCGTAAATTCAAGGGACCTTCCATTGATGGCGGGCCATGCCCGATGGCACTTTTTAAAACTTTTTATCTGATTGATAATATTGAAGATATCATTGTGTTTGGTGTAAATATTTAATTTACCACATTGTTTCTGAAGAAGAAATGCGCAAGTCTTTGTTAATGAGGAAAATAATCAATTTTCAGATAGAAAAACATGGAAATCTTATTCATTCTTAATCAGATAAAGGTTATTAGGGTATCTTTGTGAATCAGAAAACTTACTCTGAAAGTAATGGATCACTTGAAACTACGTCTTCATTCCTTTCAACAATCCAAATTTTATATAAATCATGAACCTTGTACTGTTGAAACATTATTTAGAAGTGAAATTTAATTTGACTTTAATAAGGATTTCGCATAATTCGTGAGCTGAACCAGCAAATTTCATTATTAAATGATGGCTGGAACTCATAGATTAAATAAAGAGTCAATTTTATTTAGGGTTTAATGTGTAACTTTTATTGGATAGCTTGGTGAAAACAGATTAAAATTTTCAACATATTCTTTCTACTTGAGACTTTTCGTTATGGGTTTTGCACTTTGTTAAAGTTATAACTTATGTGTCTGAAAATTTTTATTTAAAAATTTTTATTTATTTTTGAAAAATAAGTCAATTCAAACTTACAATTCACCTGTCGGTCATTATTAAAATTTCTATATTTGTTCAGATATCTGGAACCCTACTGGGATTGGTAGGATATGCTTTTGGGGCTGGTTTAGCATTCTTGTTCAAGATGGATAAACCTCAAGTAAGTATATAATGCTTAAAACATCTGGTTTAGCATTCTTGTTCAAGATGGATTAACCTCAAGTAAGTATATAATGTTTTAGCATTCTTGTTCAAGATGAATAAACCTCAAGTAAGTATATAATGCTTAATTATCTGGTTTAGCATTCTTGTTTAACATGGATAAACCTCGAGTATGTATATAATGCTTAAAACATCTAGTTTATTGCATTCTTGTTTAACATGGATAAACCTCGAGTAAGTTTATAAAGCTTCAAACGTCTAGTTTATAGCATTCTTCCTTAACATGGATAAACCTCAAGTAAGTATCTAATGCTTCAAACATCTAGTTTATAGTATTCTTGTTTAACGTGAATAAACCTCAAGTAAGTATATAATGCTTCAAACATCTAGTTTATAGCATTCTTCCTTAACATGGATAAACCTCAAGTAAGTATATAATGCTTAAAACATCTGGTTTAGCATTCTTGTTTAACATGGATAAACCTCAAGTAAGTATATAATGCTTCAAACATCTAGTTTATTTCATTCTTGTTTAACATGGATAAACCTCGAGTAAGTATATAATGCTTCAAACGTCTAGTTTATAGCATTCTTCCTTAACATGGATAAACCTTCAGTAAGTATATAATGCTTCAAACATCTAGTTTAAAGCATTCTTGTTTAACATGGATAAACCTCGAGTAAGTATATAATGCTTCAAACGTCTAGTTTATAGCATTCTTCCTTAACATGGATAAACCTCGAGTAAGTATATAATGCTTCAAACATCTAGTTTAAAGCATTCTTGTTTAACGTGAATAAACCTTAAGTAAGTATATCATGCTTCAAACATCTAGTTTATAGCATTCTTCCTTAACATGAATAAAACTTCAGTAAGTATATAATGCTTCAAACATCTAGTTTATAGCATTCTTCCTTAACATGAATAAACCTTCCGTAAGTATATAATGCTTCAAACATCTAGTTTAAAGCATTCTTGTTCAAGATGGATAAACCTCAAGTAAGTATATAATGCTTCAAACATCTGGTTTATAGCATTCTTCCTTGACATGGATAAACCTTCAGTAAGAGTATAATGCTTCAAACATCTAGTTTATAGCATTCTTCCTTGACATGGATAAACCTTCAGTAAGTATATAATGCTATAAACATCTAGTTTACAGCATTCTTCCTTGACATGGATAAACCTTCAGTAAGAGTATAATGCTTCAAACATCTAGTTTATAGCATTCTTCCTTAACATGAATAAACCTTCAGTAAGTATATAATGCTTCAAAAATCTTGGAATTTTCTTGTTCAAATACTAGGGCAGGTATCTAAAATCAGTCCAACATCTTCCGAAGAAGGCTTTTTAGTTTTTAGATTTTTATTTTAAACATTTTAATGTAGTTTTAACAATTCAGTTTACTTATAACTTTCCCACTATTGATATATGCATAATTTTAAACATGCAAAAATATATTTACAAATTAATGTTATATATATATATATATATATATATATATAATGGCGAATTTAAACCATAATGTAATATTTTCGATAAAATTTATCTTGAAGTTATTAATAATGTTTCAAATATTGTCCATGAATGAAAAATCTTTTACAGCTAAAATTGGCTGAAAGTTTTTAGGGAATCCCAGGGGTGACATGGACTAAAAAAGTTTTAAAATTTTGAAATTTTACGGGCAACACCTGGCATTTTAGTTAATATTGAAATTATAATCTAGCGAGGGTATACTATGACAATTAATAATAATATAAACCTTGGCAACCTGAGTCGGGTACTCCAGCTAGTTGTTAATAAAATAGATGGTTTACCTGGAATTCACTGTTTTATCAGAGCTGAAAACTTTAGAATGGTGGATATTGAGGTTAATATGTGATCCTCTCTTTTTCTTAATCTCGAAACTAACCTAATCTTGTCCTTGTATCCTGAAAAGTGTATGAAATTCAACCAATCAGAGTGGCATATATGAAGCTGATAAATTTGAAATTTTGCGCGCCAATTAAGATTATTATATCAGAAACGGGAGGGACTATCTAATTTTAAAAAACCGGGTTTTCATTGTTCTCTACTATATCCAAGAAAGGACGGTTTAAGAAGAAAATCAAAAGTGTGTCTATTGGATACTCAGATTAAGTAATTGGGACTAAGGATATCTCATTCTAAAGTTGTCAGCTCAGATATCATAAGAAAACTTATTTAGATAATAGCAATTTCCCTTGAAACTGCAATACAGAACGGAGGGATAGCGTTCATTGTTCTTAGTCTAACATTCCCTTCTCCGTACAGTGACATGGGGATAATGCCGATACTTGGTTTCTTCTTCTGCTCAACAGGTCAGATAATCTTCTATCCTGTACAATGTACATACGATACATGACAGTTGGTCTAGCCATTTAAAACTATTCACCAACTGTAATGCTTTATTTTAGGTACCATCATGTTTGTTGTATATATTTTAGGTCCCATCATGATTGTTGTATATATTTTAGGTCCCATCATGTTTGTTGTATATATTTTAGGTCCCATCATGTTTGCTGTATATATTTTAGGTACCATCATGGTTGTTGCATATATTTTAGGTCCCATCATGTTTGTTGTATATATTTTAGGTCCCATCATGTTTGTTGTATATATTTTAGGTCCCATCATGTTCGTTGTATATATTTTAGGTCCCATCATGATTGTTGTATATATTTTAGGTCCCATCATGTTTGCTGTATATATTTTAGGTCCCATCATGTTTGTTGTATATATTTTAGGTCCCATAATGTTTGTTGTATATATTTTAGGTACCATCATGGTTGTTGTATATATTTTAGGTCCCATTATGTTTGTTGTATATATTTTAGGTCCCATCATGGTTGTTGTATATATTTTAGGTACCATCATGGTTGTTGTATATATTTTAGGTCCCATTATGTTTGTTGTATATATTTTAGGTCCCATCATGGTTGTTGTATATATTTTAGGTCCCATCATGTATATATTTTAGGTCCCATCATGTTTGTTGTATATATTTTAGATCCCATCATGTTTATTGTATATATTTTAGGTCCCATCATGTTTGTTGTATACCTGTTTTACATGATCTTCCAGAAAATTATGAAGAAGAGAAAGTTTTCACAGGTTCTTTTTTTTAAACTTGTAATATTATTTTTCAGAAAATTAAAATTGTTATTTTAAGGTTGCGGTAGAGGAAGAGAAAGAGCTAGAAAGATTATAGATGATATTTTACATTTACATCATACAATATACCAAGCATAAATTTGTAGAATAGAAAGACGACATTTAAGCAGTCAATTAGTTGTATTTTAAGAAATTATTGATGAGTGATATCATGTGGATATCACATTTGAATTTGTGATGGATAGTATTATTATTTCTGCATATATAAACGTTGCACCAACCCTGTATTACGTATGTATACTGCAAAAAATATTCCGTCTTTGTTTACAAACAATGAAATTACTCCTACGTACACTTTATTAATGGGTTACCCAGGGTTATCCGTTTTACACTCAACAGTTATTCTCTTAAATTTTATCAGTATTTGACGTATATATGTATCTACAATACTACATTGTTAACAAACACTGCTTTTGTGTTCATTAAAAAATCCCACTTGGGTCAAAGAAGATAAAAAACTGCCATATTTAATTTTTGGTTAATGTTTTTTTTGTGACATGGGTACATGGATATCACCTCCTTTAAGCCCAAAATATTATAAAAGCACCAAATCCATGAAATCTAATTTCAGGTTTATTAAATTAATATATTTATTTTTGGTGATACTAATATTAATCTTTAAGCCAGAATTATATGGAAGAGAGAAATTAAAAAGGAAGTAGAAAGGAGAAAGGAAGTAGAAAGGAGAAAGGAAGTAGAAAGGAGAAAGGAAGTAGAAAGGAGAAAGGAAGTAGTAAGGAGAAAGACAAAGAGAAAAGTGAGAAGAGGAGAGATGAGAAGAGAAGGGAAGAGAAGAGATGAGAGATGAGAAGAGAAGGTAAGAGAAGAGGAGAGATGAGAAGAGAAGGGAAGAGAAGAGGAGAGATGAGAAGAGAAGGGAAAAGAAGAGGAGAGATGAGAAGAGAAGGGAAGAGAAGAGGAGAGATGAGAAGAGAAGGGAAGAGAAGAGGAGAGATGAGAAGAGAAGGGAAGAGAAGAGGAGAGATGAGAAGAGAAGGGAATAGTAGATTTTGGAAGGGAGGAGAGAATAAATAAGAATAGATCGTGGAAGTGAGGAGAGAATAAATAAGAATAGATCGTAGGAGGGAGGAGAGAATGAAGAATGGTAGATTTTGGAAGGGAGGAGAGAATAAATAAGAATAGATCGTGGAAGTGAGGAGAGAATAAATAAGAATAGATCGTTGAAGGGAGGAGAGAATGAAGAATGATAGATTTTGGAAGGGAGGAGAGAATAAAGAATCCAGTGTTTAACCTTCTAATGACCTCTAACGAGCTCTAATGACCTAAAATTACCTTCAAAATAAAAATGCAATTTAACTATGGCTTTATGCATATCAAACGAAAGCTATGAGGTCAAACACTGGATTTGTTGCTGCTACTGTATTCCCTAGGCAGCCCCGCCCCCCACATCAAATAGGACATCTCCACCATCCCATTTGTGAATCTATGTAAGAAAGTCCCTGGAAAAAAGTTTCTAGAAAAAACCTGGAAATAAAAACTTCGGGAAAAAAGTCCGAATATTCTCAATTCCTTGGAAAAAATGTCACTGGAAATAAAGGCCAAGTGTTTTGAATTCCTGGGACTTTTTTTCCTAAAGTCTTTCCAATAAAGTCTCAGGAAATAAGATCTCAGGAGAAAAAGTCCTGAAGAAAATAAATCCGAGGAAAAGAAAAACCTAGAAAAAAAGTCCTAAGTCTCGGGTAATTTGAACTCAGAACTTTAAGTCTGCGGAAAAAAGTCCTAAGAAAAGTTGTGTATAAAATCCCCCGTACAAGCCCCTGAAAGCCTACGATTGTTGATAGGATGTTTACAACCAGGATTTTTTTTCCATTGTGAATCATGCATTTTCACTTTTAGAGGACTTTTTTCACTTTTTTTGTATAAAATCATACTGGAGCCAGAAAAAAGTCCCAGAAAATAAAGTCTCGAATTGGTAGGACTTTATTTCCGGAGACTTTTTAATAAAAGGACTTTTGTTCCACAGGACGTTTTTAGTGTGAAATTTTAGGACTTTTCCGGAAACTTTTTTCCAAGAACTTTTTTGGCGGGTACCCCCCATCTTTTTCATTGCTTAATCATACATCATTGAACCGTCATCAACACAGCATTCTAAATGAAAAATAATATCTGGAAACAATTTAATCTTTATTTGCGTGATAAAATACGTACATATGTATATGTATAAAGTTAAAATAAATGTAAATATGAAACAGTGCAGATATTGTTAAATAATTGGTGAATGAAGAAGCAACTTGCCAGCATGTATGTACTAAACCTCTTTCTTTGTTTAAAAAATTTGAAAAAGTTTCCTATTCAGATCATCTGTTTCATAGAATCTATGTAAGAAAGTCCCTGGAAAAAATTTTCTGGAAATAAAAACTTTGGAAAAAAAGTCCGAATTTTCTCAAGTCCTTGGAAAAAATTTCCTTGGATTCCTGGGACTTTTTTCCGGAGACTTTTTAATAAAAGGATTTTTTTCCACAGGACTTTTTAATGTGAAATTTTAGGACTTTTTTTCCAGAAACTTTTTTTCCAAGGACTTTTTTGGCGGTTACCGTTTCATAGGACTTTTATACTATAAGGATTGATTCAAGCACAAAGATACACATATATATGTATATACATACATATATAAATGGTGAAGTTTAAATTTGTTTAAATATTTTTAAAATATAGTTTTACAAAAGAAGAAAAAAAATATGCAAAATTTTGCACAAATAGGCAACATTGATCATTACTCATTACATAACATATTCATCATTTCAGTTATTACGTAATCATCGAATCCTTTAACAAATAAATTATTCATTCTTGTATTTAATGTTTCTTGTAAAATTGGAACTTTTCATGCATGGTCCTATGGAACATCAAAATATTTAATTTTACTAAGATCAAATTTATTTACAAAACAATATTTTTTGCCAAGGACATGTGTTAAGGTCATTTTCGCATAAATTAGAAAGAAATCTAATGCAAAGCTTATAACTTTCTTCAATAGTCTCATAGAAAGACACACATCTGCTAGCTAACATAGTCTCACATGTAAAAATTGTGAAATACTTTCAATTGAACGCCTATGCGTATCTCTAGGTACATTCTAATTCTAATAGCAGTATTCCATGCTGTATACAATTTTGAAACACTTTGGGTACTTAAGTCCCAAAAACTACTAAAATTAATACTATACAGTTTAAAAAAACATCAGGATTGTTAGAATTGGTTCAGGGAATGAATTTTTGAAATGAAAATAGTTTGTTTTTTATTGCAATCTATGGTCATTGAATTATCACTTTGCAGAACATTTCCTAAATGTTTCAAGTCGTTGACAAATGATAAAGGTAATTCATTCAATAAAATTGGGATTACTTTATTTCATAACTAACCCTTTCTGTAGAAAAAATAAGGCATTAAGTTTTACATTTTTCTATTCGAATATTTGTACTAAATTTCAGTTGAGTAGCTTTAGCAAAATTTTCACAAATTTTCATCATTTCCTGAAGACCTCTTGTTCTGCTAGGAGAAATATCGGTGTAATTTCAAGTGACCCTTTTATTCTTAGTTTGAGAAAATATGGACATATTCAGATTTTCTTGCTAAGAATTTTCAACCGCAGTTTTCAATTGAAGTTCACGTGGATTTAACGGTTCTTTCAATATTCTAGAAAGCTGTGACGTTCGATCACAATTTTGCTATTAAACATCATTTGTTAGCCTTTTTCATTAAATAAAGACCAAAGCGCGTAAGATTTCAAATAGAAGAAATCGAATGCCTCTAACTCTGGTTAGTCCAGGGTGAGTTACTAGCGGTAGCGCGCAGATTCATGCATGGCTGAGACAAGGGAATAAAATCCGTCTAACACGTGTGAGTGTGAGTAATTTGTTTTCTCATTCTCAATACATCAAATTCATCAGAAAAGGATCGTTGTGATTTCAAGTAATCTTCATTTGAAGAGAAGCATGGCAGATTCAGAACAGTACCCTTCATTCTTCAGGGATCAATAACTGTTGAAAATATCCTCACTTTTCTAACTTTAAAACTAGTTGGTTCTTAAGGATTGACCATATTTACCAAGAACCATCTGAACATGTATTTCTGGTTAAAAATCTGATTTTAAGGATATTAAGTATAATGTTCCTGCATGAACGGTTGGTTTTTACATTCATATATGAATATACTGCAACAAGGTATAATTTATTTATATGTTTAATGGTTCGTTCATTGATAATATTGAAAAGTTACTAGTATATATTGGAAACTTTTGACAAATCAATTCCAATTTTAAGTTTTGAAGAACTTATGTTTTCCAAATTGCAATATTAAGAACAATTAGCACTTTTACCAAATGACGCATCTTAGATTTTAAAAATGAGACATTGGATGTGTAGTGTATGCATAAAAAATATGGCTAGAGGATAATAATTCTAATTTTAAAAATAAATATATGTATTTAAGAATAGAAAATAAAAAATATAATCATTTCACATTTTTCTTAGCTTCAAAGTAAAAAAACAACATTTTAAATAGCTGTTTATGACTCACAAAAAATGTTAATTTATAATGGATTAAAAACCCAACTTTGCCTGAAAACTAATCTTTCTTTATAAAATCCAACCTACTCAACTTAGAAGCTGTATAAACATTGTTCTACCATTCAACACTTCAGGTTCATGGAGTAATTGATCGGACATACGAACAAATAAACAAACACCCAAACAGATCTTTAAACAATTACCAAAACAGATATTATTACTCAATATTATTATATATAAGCTTCTGAAACTAACTAACTTCAATATGAGGGTGCCAAGAATGGTAAAAATTTCCAGAAAATGTAAAAAAAAACTTGTTTAAAAATATTAGCGACACGTTGTTTGTAAAAGTACAGAAATCTCGGGATCAAGCATTGAACTCCATCGAATGCAGACCTAGCTCCGGATTTAACTAATTCATCTTCGCTATCCAGTGCTGGCCATACCCTGCAGGGATAGTTTTATCGAGTTATCGATATATCGAGATCCTAGGTTACAGATCATACTCTCCACAAAAGTTCCAACCTTCGAATTGTAAAAGAACTTTTTAAATTTAATTAAAACTTAATAATAGATTAATTTTCGTTTAAACCTCACCAAACTTCTCTTCATTGCCACTCTCCCAATACCCTTATCATCTCTTATTACCAAAATTAATAGAATATATATTAGAGTGGAATTTAGACAATCCTTCGGTATGAATTTTATCAGTCCCTTTCAGCCTGAAAGGGAGTTCAAAGTGTACAAATCATGTAAGTATTCACAAAATATATGCAGTAGAGTACATTAATACAGCATGTTCCCTAGACTATCCATTTCAATTTCGAATTTTTTAAAGCTGTTAAATAAAGGTGAATAAAAACATCATATGATTTAAAGTTATAACGGAAAATCATCGTTTGTAAAGTGAAAGGCATAGAGTCTATAGTGAAATGATCATTGGTCAATTATGAAACCAGCCTATTTTATAATTTGGTTTTCTTTTAATATTAATTTTAGATTTTCTATAAAATGATGTTCCAGGGTCCAAAAGGTTATATATCACAAATATGTGAAGTAAATCTACAATATTGAAACAGTACAACAAAATGGCCGTTTTACACTTTTTCCTAGTAAATTCCACTCTAATATATATTCAATTCACTTCTCAATCTCAATCTTAAGCAGATCTAAGGATTAATTTAATTCCACTTCTATATCCCGTGGTATTCATACCCTGCAGGGATAACTTAAATTTAGGGATCAAAAAATATAAAATCCTTAAATCAAAAGTACCCATGATTTGATATCGAGATCAAGCTTTCAAGTTTATCGTTGCTCATCGCGAAAGTCCTGACCTATGGGCTACTTAACATTCTAAGATACTTTTCTATTCATGTTTAATTATTTCGTTCCATGTAAACAAAAATAATTATAAACGAAAAATATGTTTTAAAATAAACTAAAAACCTTTTTATGTTTTCCTCCAAAACTTATTTTTTACGCCGAAAGCATATTTTTGCAGATCTACATTTATTTATTTTGTGTGTTAGTCAAGAAAGAAAATTTTAAATATTCATTAAAAGTAGCAACATGTAATATTTTTGTAAATCTGCCAATCGCAATCGTTAAAATGCGCAAAATGATTTTCAAACACGCATGGATATTTTTTTTATTCTTTACCTTCGAATTAAAAGATGTTTTGGGAGTGTTTGGGCCTTTAAACTGTGAACATGCCGTGTTAAGAGGAAATTATGCTGAAATACTTCAAAAAAATTCAGGTTATTACATTTGATTTTGTAAATTATATACAAAAGTATCAACAATTTATTTTTTATTTTTGGCAGGATATGACAGTTCAGGACTCTTCTCAGTGAACTGGGCCTCAATGTTCCAAAATGAATATGGTGACCTTTTAAAAAACTGTCTTTAAATATAAAACTCCTTTTGAAATCGCATTTTTATCCAGGAACTACTAAAACTACCGCGTACTGTGTTAATTTTCTACTTGTTCACTACGGAATGAAGAGCACACAACTTGACTTAATGAACGGTAAAATACATTTTTTATCATAAAATAAATAAAATATTAATCTTAAAGTTACTGTAAAGGAGAAATGAAAAGGGGTATAGGCCATGAAACCTAAGCATCTTAGGTGTTGATCGAGACCCATAAGAGTTCTATCTGATGTTCCTGTCTCAAGAAATTGATTGATATATAAATTTTCGTATAAATTTGACACAGTTATATATCAATTTCTTCAGACAGGAACATCAGATGGAACTCTCATTGGTCTCGATCAACTCTTAAAATCCTTAGGTTTCAGCCTAATCTATAACCCTTTTCATTTTTCCTTTACAGACCCTTTAAGGTCTGCTTCTAAGTTCTGTAATAATATATTTGAATTGTTTATGGGACTATGAATTAAGTATTTATTGTGATTCACAATTTTCATTTTTTCAATTCTTTTTTAAAATGTCCGTTATTAATGAACTTGTTTTGTTAAATGATCTATGTTAATATTTTTGAAATATTTTTTTTCAGAATGTTGATTCTTTTTTTCAGAATGTTGCCCGGAGGGTTACATATTGGGATCCAAAGACGATGCTGAATGTAAGTTTATTTAAAGAATAATATTTTAATTTAATCAAAAAAGGTTTGTAACGTACATGCGTACATCTTCTTTTCACCGTTTTTCCATTTTTTTTAGGATAAAAATATTGCAACATTTTTTAAAATCTTAAAAGTTTTATTAAAAGTTTTTATATTTTCAAACGAACCAAAACGTTAACTTAAAGCATTTGATCGAAATTTTACATGTTTTCAATCATGACTTACTCCTCTTTTTAAAATGCCATGTACAGACGTTTAAAAAAGTTCTGATAACGGTGATTTAGCATAAATTTGACCTCTTAGTCTTTTTTATCGTAACTAGCTTGATTTTAGTTCATTGTAGACATGTTTATATTAGAAATATAGAGCAGTTCTTTTTAGCTTTTATACTTTTAACTAATTTCTTCGATTTTTTCGTAAGAGCAACTTTTGGATAACTGTGCATACGCCAACGAACTTTTGTGAATCATTTACGGCACTCTGAAATCATAGGTTTTCTTTAAGCTTTTACTGCAAACCGGGGGATTTAAGACGCTACTCAAAATCATTAAATATTAGAAACTCAAAACATTTGTATTCTTATCAATAGCTCTTCAAAAAGAGGAGTTTAGATTGAAAACATATAATATTTTAAGTTTACGTGGACTTAACTTTAGTTTGACGTGGTTTGTATTTGTGTATTCTAGATAGACTAGGATGCAATTGTCCCCAGCTTGATGGTCAAATTAAACACCTGAACATCACTAAACGATTTCAAGGGATCGAACCCTTCAAGTAAATATATTCAAATTAACTATCAAAGGAACTGTCATTGTAATTTTGAAAAACCTTCAATTCAAAAAGGTGTTTGCCAGATTCCTAACGGTACACTTAAACCCTTTATATGATCAATAATGTGAAAGATATCGTTTTTTTTTGAATCAGAAATGCACAAGTAATTTTATTTAAAAACCACAATTAGAAATCAGTAGTCATCACAAAGAAAATGATGGAAATTTTATGCACTCGTGATAAGAGAACACTCTTTGAAGGGATGTTAATTTATGAATTAGTAATATAGAATTACTAATTTCATATTATTGACATTTTGTATGATTTAAAACACAACTTCTAAAAAGGTTATGGCAAGAATTTAAGTTTAAAATCCTTATGCAACCTAGTTAGTTCACTCAAATTCTCTCTGTTATAATATTAATCTAAATAATTGGAACTGACTTTTACTTCATTTTCTAATCCTAACATCTTTGCAACTTCCCCTGCACTTGGGACCGAAGTAAATGAATTGGAGAGTTCGCTACCCATCACTGGTTTAAATCCTTAATTACCGATTCAAATCGTCAGAAATCTTAACCTTTGATTAGGTGATTAAAAATTTGAACCGACCGCGGCAGTAGAGTTTAGCGACCTAAATTCGGGTCCTGGTGGTATATGTACACATCTAACATTTTAAACTTTGACTATTTAATTTGGAACAATTTATAGTTTGTACGTCTACGACATCTGATTGCAAAGATATAAGGATTAGAAAATTAGAGTTCAGTTTATTTGTTTTTTTCTTTCTTTAGATTGAATATATGTGGTGAGGAAAACCTGGTGATAATTTCAGTTTTCTATGATGATTGGTATGATTATAAAGGTTTCAATAATTACAGATTTATCTTTGATAATATCAGAAACTGTACTGAAGAAACACCAGTAGAAATATTTAAAAGTAAGCATATTTAAAGTTACTTACAGGAACTGAATTCGTAAGTTTCAAGTTGACCCTCTATTTATTGCCAGATTCAGAACGGTATCTGACCTTGAAACTTAGATCTGTGGCCGAATTTAAATTCCATCTCAGGTCAATAATTTGGAAGAAATTGTCATTTTTCTAGGTTTAACTGTTTGATTTTAATATATTTTTTTCCTACAGTAGAAATGCGCAAGTCACTTTTGTAGAGAACTTACAATTGAAATTAAATAATTTGCAAAATCATAAATATTTTTAATAGAGATTTTTTTGTCCCCAGGACATGATCGGGTTGTTACGATCAAATCTCGGAATTTTTTTCTATTGCGAAAGTTTGGTGTTGTCTGGGTTTTTATATTGATCTACCAGGGGTTGTAATCTGGCAGCACATTCATCCATCCACGCTTCATTCATTCTGAGAAGAGGGTTGACAAGATTCTAGCTGCCTAAGATTCTTCTTAGGCCTGAGAATATAGAGTGCAGGAATCCTTCTGATATACTGGAATGAGGCCCGGGTGCCGTACTGATAGGAAACATCACACTCATTGCTCCCTAACATCTGTAAGCCCGGATTGGATACCCCCAGGTAACTATAGCTGGCAACCATAGACTCTCCCTGCTTGTCCACCATTCCTCTCTTCATCGTCATTCACTTGGATCAATCCCACTTGAAGCTTCTTTCTTGTTGAGTAGAAAGCACGCACCCTTTCGCTGCGAGAGTTGTTGACAGCCGCCCCTCTGTCCTCCTACATCCGTCAGGTGGTCATAACTGCTAAACCAGATGTCGGCTTCAGATGTTTTTGAAACCACAGGTTTGTGTGGAGTACGGGAATCGAACCCGTGAACACCAGTCTGGACACCAATCCAGTTACTGGCTGTGGACAAGTGTGCTTAACTTCAGTGATCTAACGAGAACTGGTGTCACACACTCTCCACGCCACCCCACAAAAAATCATAAATATTAATATCTAATTCATGCTTGATCAGACAAAGCTTACAAGGGTACCGTTGTGAATCAGGCATTGCTATCTTTACATACAGGGTCAACTTAAATTAGGCTTACAGTTCCTATAAATCAATGAAATCTTTTAGAAACCGATATATTTATATTTTGTAGAAAAAGAACTAAACTACTGTGAATATCTGGACATGTTACCCAACTATAGAGAACTTATTCTTGATAATTCAGGTTAGTTGAAATACAATCGTCCTACCCTGACCATTGTATTGGGAGGAACATCTTAAAAACTGCAGCAGAACTGTTGGGCAGACATAGATAAGAGATTGCCACAAACAAATGTCTACGCAATCCATATTTATTTAAAATAAATAGATATCTACTATTCATACAAACCAGTAATAAAGGAATTGAGTTTTTGCCACAAACTCGTATTTGCAAAGTTAAAGGAATTAGAAAATCAGAGTTTGTGGCAATAAATCAATTTCTTTTAAGCGAAATAAATTGTGATTATAATATTTAGGATATAATAATGGTTCTGATCCTAATTCTCTATACTTCAACTGGGCGCTGGCTTTCAGTCTTGATTCAGGTAATAGGACTGTAGACAGAATTTCAAGCGATACTTTTAAAAAATGGTATATCCGATTCACAACAGTACCCTTTAATCCTACATCCGCGGATCCAAGTATCAATGCGAGGTATCTTCGTTTCTTTATCTTTAAACGTTATGAATTCTGACAATCACAAACATTGTCTCTGTAGTCTGAAGCCATCTGCAAATCATTTTTATCGAGAACCCACAATTGAAAATAATGATAATCTCATTAATCCTTGAATCGTATGATGTACATGTCGTATTCATACCAACCAGAAATTAAAGGTCACTTGAAATTGCATGATCAGTCTCTTTACAAGTTGAAAATTTTAACTGTTTAATGAATAAACGTTTCAAATTCTTAATAATTTAGAATCCGGATTATCCTATGCTACTTGTTTGAACGAGGTGTATTTTTACTATGGAATCAGGCTTAAAGATCTCAGATATATGGTTGGTAAGTTAATATCTTATGTTATCATGCAAATATATATGATCATGCGTATTTCCTTTTCTCAATAAGCTAAAATAATTGATTCCCCGTTTATTTATACTTTTTTGTTGTAATTTTATTCATTGAAATTAGAATGGTAAAACCAAGGTTATTTTGGTTAAAGTTCAAATTGAATGCTTAATTTCCAATGTGGGAATATGAGCCGATCCAGAATTAGATATTTTAAAAATTATTCTCTTCGATATTCAATATTCAATGTACAATACATTGTACATTGCTTTTTGACACACATATATATATATATATTATACATGTTTCGTATTTGTGATCACTGCTTAGTGCTTATGCTTAATGAATCATATTTGTCAAATGAATGCCATGAATTTATTTTAATGATCAAATACGATTTTCAAATCAAGAATGCCCATTATAACTGTATATATCTTTGCTGTTAACCCTTAATAGACTTTTCTTATAAAAAAAGAGAAAGATTTAGCAAATTACATGATTTAGATTGCTGTCCATGGGAGCCTGATATCGATGTAATGAATAATTCATTTAAAAAAAGTAAGTTTGTTAATACTATATGTTAGGTCAGGTTAGACTATGTAAGGAAAGTAAGTTTATTAATACTATATTTTAGGTCAGGTTAGACTATGTTAGGAAAGTAAGTTTATTAATACTATATGTTAGGTCAGGTTAGACTATGTTAGGAAAGTAAGTTTGTTAATACTATATGTTAGGTCAGGTTAGACTATGTAAGGAAAGTAAGTGAGGTCAACTCAGATCAGATCAAAGATTGATATTTAAAAAAGAAAGACTTATTGTTGAAATAGGAAGTCAGAACTTTTGATTAAGTTGACATTAAGCCCTAATTCGTTGTCGACAACACTTTTGAACTGAAGAAATGAACTATTGAAATATCTGTAATTGGATGAATTTATGTTGGTAGACTCTAATAGGTTGAGATGGGACAGATATTCGAGGGATTTCAAAACGGATTAGTGCTTAAGGCGCTGAGATTAAATATACAGAAGTCCGTCCTACTCCTCAGAAATGTTTACTGTTCAGATCCTGCCTGGACCATAAAGAAGGGTAAATGTGAATGTTCTGGTTTAAATATTCGAAATAAAACTGCTAATATTCTTATAGATGGAATTCAACCTGTCAGGTATAGTTCATAATACTTTGAATATATTTTCTTTCAAAGCCAAAATTTGAGTGTAAGAAACAAACACGTTTCTAAAATTGTTTATTTTAAAAATTTGGTTGCAAAAACAAACCAAAGAGAACCATGTTATCACGGTCGTTTTTGAATTGTTTTCCCATTATCTTTTTTAGAATAAAAATATTGCAAAGTTTACCAGAATACAGTCCCATTTAATATTAAGAATATTAGGACATGCACAGAATACCTTGTATTTATTTTTGGCATGCAATTGTTTCTATGCAATTATTTAAGACTAGCTTGGGATCTCAGCTTTACCTAAAGTTTTCCCAATAAAAGCCAACCAATAAATTTAACATGTTCAAACCAAGCTAAAAACATTCCCGTGGTTCGTCCGAATTCTCTTATCAAAATTTGAAGCAAGTCGGTCCAGGGGTCCATGAGTTATGATCGGACATCCAAACAGAGACTTCTACCTCATATATTAGATGATTCAAAAGTTATCCAAAATACCAAACTTTGGTCGATCAAATTTGTCTCTTAAAAATCCCTTTATGATCAACCAATTTCCAGGTTGCCAGTATGTGGAGAGGAAAATGTGGTTATTGTATCATTCTTCCATGGTTACCACAGTGAGTGGGCATTTATAAACAAACGTTTTATAATTGATACTCCTGCTTGTGTGAACCCTCCTGCAGTAGAGGTAGAGGAGACGGGGGGTCCTTTAACTGGTATTATACTGGGAGGAGTTGGAATTATTCTAATAATCAGCATTCTTATATTCGTAGCATTTAGGAACCATTCAGGTTAGATTCAATATAATAATTATAATCGGTAAACTGTTCACTCCGTGGAAGTGAAGACCCAGTTCAAAAATAGAGACATTAGATACAGGGATACCCACAAAGAATGTCATTTCAATAACGACGTGAAACTCTTAGTAGACAACGATCTGAATGCTAAATCTCGTTTTCTACCTTGAGTAGTTCTATATATTTCTGTATTTGATACGTTAGTAAAGGTAGAAATACGAAACATCTGCAGGAATTAATGAATATAAAAGACGAGACTGAATAAGTTTAGTCGTGTTTGAAGTCTTTTGTGAGGAAAGTATCGTTACACTAGCTAAAAGTAATATCACATTCCTTTTATAATAAATCTAGTTTAAAATGTTGCTTTCCGCTTCGTCATTTTATCTTTGATATAAAGAAGAGAACACCAATAAGCACGAGCCAGATACATGATATACATAAATATATATGTAGAGAGGGAAGGAAGGCACACCACACCTTTTTTCGTCCGACCACAATAAACGTCACAAAAAGAACTTTTCGGAAGAAATAATGGTAAGCACTAAGCACAACGCCAAGAAGTTGATTTTGTGATGTTTTGTGTAGTCGGACGAAAAAAGGTGTGGTGTGCCTTCCCTCCATCGCGATATTGTTTAATTTACATTTGTTTAGGAGAATTGAAACCTTTGTCAGCTGCGGCAGGACAATCAGGTAAACTTTAGTCCTAGACACTTTTTTTACTATAATATTATACTATCTCAATAAATGCATATTTTAAAAATTTTTTTTATTTTGTTTAGATGATAAAGCTCCTCCAGCTTCTACAGTTTCAGAGGAGAGCATCAGTGTATATAGTATTACAAAAATATGATCGTCATTATTATTTATAACTACAAACATACGATAACTTAATTCTAACCAATACATCTTTTTTCTAAATTATTTGTTAATAAATGTAATAATTTTCTTTAACTCCACTAAGAAAGATTGTTATTAACAAAGTTTAATGAAGTTAATTACACAACTCAGCTTACACTTCTGTCGTCTTTCTTCTGCATTTATAAAAGTAAAAATTTCAGCCATTTTCTAGCTCGATTCTTTGTCATAAGTATAACATTTGCCATAAAGTTTTAGCCCTAAAACAGAACTTTCTTTGCTTCAACTTTAAATCCGAAAATTAAAAATTTACAATTTTTTTAAAACTTACAAATTTAATTAAACTTGATCAATTTTTTAACATGTTTTAAAAAGTACACTTCAGCTTTTTAGCGTTTCTTAAAATTTTCCTATATGAAAACATGAGGCCATTTGTTGGCTATTTGAACTCTGCTAGGAACCAGGATGAGAGAAACTGTTCTCCTCCTCCTATTTGAACTCTGCAAGGAACCAGGATGGGAGAAACTGTTCTCCTAGTTCTATTTGAACTCTGCTAGGAACCAGGATGGGAGAAACTGTTCTCCTAGTTCTATTTAAACTCTGCAAGGAACCAGGATGGGAGAAACTGTTCTCTTTCGTCTATTTGAGCTCTGCAAGGAAGCAGGATGGGAGAAGCGGCTCTCTTAGTCATATTTGAACTTTACTATGGAACCAGGATGGGAGAAGCTGTTCTCTTAGTTATATTTGAACTCTGCAAGGAACCAGGATAGGAGAAGCTGCACTTTTAGTCATATTTGAACTCTTCTAGGAACCAGGATGGGAGAAACTGTTCTCCTAGTTCTATTTGAACTCTGCTATGAACCAGGATGAGAGAAACTGTTCTCCTCCTCCTATTTGAACTCTGCAAGGAACCAGGATGTGAGAAACTGTTCCGAATCTTCTTGACCCTTGAACCCACTCCTTTGATCCCAAATCACATTATACACCTAGATAATTCAAATGATATATCTTTCAATAGAGATTTAGGGCAAGATTCAAGAAATTATTTAAATATTTCGCCTGAAAATTGTCTAAGAAAAGTCTAAAGGAATTGAGTTTTTGTCACAAACTCGGATTTTGTAATTCCTATATATAATTCGTATATATTTCAAAAATAAATAATTATTTACTTACTTACTTACTATTTACAACTTTCAGTTCAAGGGATTAAAAGCTGCACAAAATTTCAAATATCTCAAGGAATTAAAAATCATCACGTTCAGAAGGTTGAAAGAGTTAGAAAGAATGATCGAAATGATCCCAATATTGCTTCCGAACCTCGTTAGAAATTAACAAATCAAAACGAAACATAAACGCGATTTAAAAAAAATCTACAAAGTCTTCGTTTTTCTAGTCCGATCTTAATTTGTAAAAAAAAGAAAATATTATGTAAATGTTAAAAGGATACTGTTTGATTGACTATGTGCTTAAATTATCGAATTAGTCCGGTTTTAAGTAGAAATCAACTATTTCAAATGGAAGATTATTCCTCGATGACAGTTTGGGGGAGGTTCGGAAGCCCTGGGAACGCACACTGCCGAAAATAGGTAAAATTACTTAATATGGTTCGGAAGCTGTGCGAGGGAGGTTGCCTTCCCTCCCATTGTACAGATTATAAATTAATAATCTGAAATATATATTTACACTGAAGTGAAGGCAGATATATTGATTAAACCTTTTTGGCAGACGCTGAACTCCAACCTTCGAGTGTGCGAGGTGGGGAAGACTTCACTACCGCGCTAATTAAAAGCATGATTAGGGGGGATGACATTTGTAGATCGAAATTGAATCCTAGCCGCAGCGCCCGGCCCAGAAAGTGTCATAACTTAATCTAACCCGTGGCCGCAGCGCTCGGCCCCCTATAGCCTGTCCTAGCCGCAGCGCTCGGCCCAGAAAGTGTCTTAACCTAACCTAATTCCCCAAATAAAAGAAAGTGGCATAATTAACTTCACCTAACCCGTGGCCTCAGCGCTCGGCCCAGAAAGTGTCTTAACCTAACCTAATTCCCCAAATAAAAGAAAGTGGCATAATTAACTTCACCTAACCCGTGGCCTCAGCGCTCGGCCCAGAAAGTGTCTTAACCTAACCTAACCCTAAATAAATACTATAATTTAATTGAGAATTGTTGAAAAAGTGGTCATGTACAAAAGTAAGATCTGCAGTGAAGTCTTCCCCACCTCGCACACTCGAAGGTTGGAGTTCAGCGTCTGCCCTCCCCGTGGGTGCGCCCCCTCGCATCCCTCGAACGCCCCTGATTGAGCGAGAAAAAAATAAGTGAAAACAATCGAGTATGAATCAAGATTTGATAAAGAAAAGACGACATTAGGGGGTTTTATCTCTGTTTTTCACATTTTTTCCACAATGACATATTCAGAAAGAAAAATATATTCTAGATATCTTTAAATGTTCTTGATATATAAGGTTTAAATCTGACTTTTTAAATATAATATCTCTAAATCTAATAATCCTAATATTGTCATTAATTCAAATATTTGTTTCAATATTTCTTCTTGAGAGTTTTATCCAAACCAAATAATTTCTCTGCGTGTAGTGTATGTTCAAAATGGCTTCAAGTGCTGGTGGAGCGGGTAATTTTTTTCTATTTACATCAAAATTACACCTTAAATATGTCATTTTAACTATGAAATGGGTTATAATGCATCATGCATGATTGTAGGAATAAATTTTGTTTTCATACTTACCTACAAAACTAATGGGATCGACCATAAAATCAAGGTTTAAAATCGAAAATCATACCGGTGAAATTTTTAACCATTTGATTTGTAATTGTTATTGTCATTTTAAACTTCAAAATAGTCTCTAAGGGTCTGTCCTAGTATACGATTTTTGGACCCCCCCCCAGCCCCCCCCCTCCTATCAATTTTGTACATG